TGGAAACATCAGGTCCGAGATAGCCATGTTTGCGATGAAATAATTGATCGGTGTTCTCATGCTTTGCGTCTTGTAGACAATCAAGGCGATGGAAGTATTCCCGACTAACGAGACAACGAAGATCAGAAAAAAAGCAAAGGATTCTCCAATTTTTTGAGCTGTTGGGTGTAACAGATTGGAGCAGTTCCATAGATTCACTGTTGTGTTCATTTTTGTTGGCCATAAAGTAACAGGTGCTTACTCCTTACAAACACATCTGGTATCTAAAGAATCCTGCCTCTGCTATCATGGCTATATGTGCCACACCCATGAATGCTTGCCATAACAAGAAAAGCTGGTTATTAAATTCCTTTAATATGTGCCAATCCTCGATAAGAGGGCAGTCTGGTTATGACTGCTTTTTGTTTCGTTTAATATCTAGCCAAGATTTCATTCAATCGAAAAATGACTCAATTAGTTTGGAGTCCTTCCTTCAATAATTTTGTTTAGAAATTTTGGATGATTTTTTGAATGTTTTTTATTTGTAAAAATTTGGTGAGGGAATATTTAAAATTTTGGATGATTGAAAAATATTTGATCAGGGGATAGTTACAAAGTAAAATATGAAGTGAATAACTGTAGCCAGTTGGGATTTGAAATACAGTCGACTCTCTCTTAACGGACACCTCTATAAGACGGACACCTCTTTAAAACGGACTCCTAGAGTTAGTCCCTGCCTTTCTTTACCCCCTTTATTTGACTCTCTATAAGACGGACAACTCTGTAGGACAGACACTGAGTGCCGGTCCCAAAAGTGTCCGTCTTAGAGAGAGTTGACTGTACATGTTTAGCTGCTAAGCGGGCAGTGGAACTGAGAAAGTGTTAAAAGCCGCGCGCTCGGCCGTCAATAAGCTCACAGTATTTGCTTTGATAGCCCACGTTCGATATATTAAAATTCTAACATGACTACGGCTTTCTGGTCATTTTTTTATATATTTGGTTTGGTTTTCTTTGTGCTCAAGTCTCTTTTGGGAATTGCAAGACAATTGAGTCTTGAAAAATTTGCAATTTTAACCCGAAAGCGTCGGATTCATGTTAGAATTTTAATATATCCAATGTGGGCTATTTCCCCTGCAGCTGTGCCTTTCGCGAGCAATGATACAGCCTACGCTCCAAGACTGTAAATGACTGTAAATCCCGTAAAATCTGGTCACAACTTCACGGTTGTCTGTACTATAGAACGGTATCTGAAAACCTCACAACCTTTACTTAATTCGTTTTATGAAAGAAGAACCGTGCTTCATGGCTGAGTTTTGGAATCTTTTAACGACATTTCTTACATTGCTTTGCGGTCTCGTCGCAACGTCAACCGAAATAGCTGTATAATCACTCGAACCTTCTTAAGACCCTAATGTAAACAGAGTGTAATGTGGCAAGAGGTTCACATAGTCAGGTAGTTTGGGTCATATAAAGCTCAGTTTCTTGCACGATCTAGTCGGTGGCAAACAAATCATTTTAACGGTGCTTGTATGGAAATCTGATGTTACTAACCTTAGCAAAACGTTTATATACAACTTTATCATTAAACATTACAGTTTCATTATATCGTACATGTATTCAAGCATATCCTATCGTTGATCACTGAGATCATTATCGCGTACATGTATATATTTAAACTGCAGGCATCACTGTCACTCACGGTTCTCTCCCCACTCCCCCACTCGTTCTCTAAAACAGGACAGTGAAGCGAGCGGAGGAGGCTAGAGTTAGTCCATGGTTTCGGTGGAAAATTCGAAGCTTCAACATACTTTGTTTTTAGGTAAAATAGACCGAGAAAAAGTGTTTGGTGACGTTCTAGATAGAGAACTAGTCTTTCTAGACCATAAAAACATCGTTATAAGAAAGTCTCACAATTTGCATTTTTTCAAAGGGTTAGTCCACTAGTTTTGGTCAAAAATTTAAAACTTCTTCAGTCTTCCTTTTTGGGTAAAAGAGGCCTAAATAGGGTTCGTAGTGACGTTCTAGATAGAAAATTGACCTGTCTAGGCTCTAATTTTTTTTTAAGGCGCTATTAAGTGGTCTGGAGTCAAAAATTTGAAATTTCTTTATTCTCTATTTTTAGGTAAAATAGGCGTAAATAGGTTTTTTTTGGTAGCTTTTGTAGACTATAAAAGAATCGATTTTAGATAGTCCTCTTTGATTTGGTCAAAAATTGGAAATTTCTTCATCCTTTCATTTTAGACAAAATAGGCAATCGTTTTCGGCAAAATTTATTGTGGGGTTTCAGGCCCTAGTAATGTGCGTGTTGGGAAAATATGATCGATCGGTAATATTTTTTTCTAAGTTTCCTAGAGGAGGATGAAATGTGCGTCAGGGGCGGATCCAGGATTTTTTTTAGGAGGGGGTGCACTCGTCTCTTGCTCTACTTCAACACCAATAAACCACATAGTTTTTTTTTTGCAGAATACCAGTTGTATTAGAAAACCGCAGGTCATCTCAGGGGGGGGGGGAGGGGTGCGCACAACCTGCACCCTCCCACTAGATCCGTCCCTGTGCGTCATTGGATATCTTGAGGTGTTCTGGTGCACTTATATTTTTTACGCAACTAGTAGCGTAATAAAACTGGCAATCACTCAAAAAAATTGATGCGGAATTGGTGCGAATTTGCTTTGTGTGAATGAATTGATCAATGTGTTTGATAGCCGAAAATACGGTTTGTTCAGTCACTCTACTTACGGTTTTACTTGAGATGGTCAATAACCCTTTTTAACGTATGAACGAAATCGTGCGGTGGACTAAGCTTTAACAGTCTTGTTCGCTAATAGATCACAGAAGCACCTAGCCTGTTTGAGGCGTTCAGATTGAGGCGACAGGTCAAAATGTGAGAAGGAAATGAAAGGCTTCTTTGACTTTGCGCCACATGCCCACATTCTACGATCGGAACCGCTGGAACAGGTCGCTCCATGTAAGGAAATGTGGATTCCGGAATCTGGGACGTTTTTCTAATGGAATCTAGAATCCGGAAACTTTTGCATGTGGATTCCGGAATCTTAGGCTTTGGGATATGGAATAAAGCTCAAGGAATCCGGGATCCCAATAACGATTAGAATCCAGAATCCGAGTTCTACAGACGAAGAATCGGAGTCCAGTACCTGTAATCCGGAATCCCGCACAGCGTTGAATCCAAAATATCCAAGACTGTCTTGGATTCCCTTGCCTTGAGCAAAACAGGCTAAAAAGCAGCCCCGTTAAATTTAATGTAAATAGGTTGAAGATAAGCCTCTCTAAAAGGCAAAGTTTATTTGCTTTAGTCTTGCGTAAATTAAATCACCCTTGTTACAAACACAAGAGCTATTACCAGCAAGACACTCTTGAAGTTACGGGCACTGTGAAGCGTATTTGAAACTGTCCCAGCAATCAATAATAAATTCTTAGTTTATGAAGTGAATAATAAATTGGCAAAACCTAAGAGATTTTCTCGTGAATTTGAAAATATCCAAGGTTGGCGATCGTTCTCACGCATTTCATCTTTTCTTTTCCGGCGCCCTTAATGACCTGATTCTAAGGAGAGAAATTCATTCAAGGTAAAATAAGAACTAATCAGGTGCTAACTATATCAGAGTAACCGCAGAAGGATCTTAGGTAATTTTTAAAAGCTAAATACGAGAGCTTTTACAGACCTAAACCCAAAAACAAACAAACGCCAACTTTAAGGGCAGTTAGAATATGAGTACAAGGAGGAGACCAATTTATGGCCATATGAACACGTTAATTTTTGGTCGCTACAAAACAAGATTACTCAATTTTATCCAGAATCCATATTGTGTACAGTTGGTGGACTCTGATAACAGACCTCATTTCAGATCCTTTCTTTATTGAAGTCCAAGGAAGTGGCGTTTTTAGATGCGTATTGTATTCCGTTTTCCAGATGCTGGATTTAAAATTTGTAAACCATTTAATATTTGATATTCACTTTGGTTTAAATAAGAAAGCCCTTTTTAATTCTCTTAAAAAGTGTTTCTGGTTTGAGCAGGCTATGTTAATCTCATGAGTTTACTATTCACAGACACTCTTCTTAAAAATCAGTTAAATTACACTCTTGGTACTTTGGCGACGGACGCCCTGATGAAGAATAGCTAGGATTACTATTCCTCTTGTTAAAAATCTATTTCAAAAACCTGATGATTCGTAAAAGCCTTGGCCTATCGAGAACAGGTTGTTAAAAGAATTCACGCAACTCCGTTTTCACAGACGTCAACATAAAGTGTAAGATTGCAATGAGCCCAAGTGTCTTCGTTTTCCACATTTGGATCGTATTTTGCTGTTTTCAAAAATCAGGTCAGTAGTTTCATAAATAAAGTTTAATGTTATTTGAAAGAGAATATATGAAGTTTATATATATTTGAACGTCAATATATATATAAAACTCCAATGTTGTTGTTTTTTCGCCTCATGTATTCCGTATGGCTGAGAGATCAGATCAACAGACGATATGATATTCAATAGTTTATTTTGTCGGATCCTTGATTTTCGATGCGGTTTATTACTTGTTATAAAATAACTAAGATACTACGCGCGTTTGATTGGTTAAAAACCTATGGTTTATTGTGCCGTTAAACGCATAGTTTTACTTAAAGTTATTTAATGAAAGCAATAGACCACACTTTCTATGGGTTTACCGGCGTGATAACCCACGTGGGATGTTGGTAGAACACTCGAAAAGCTTGTAAATCACTCGCCTTCGGTTCATGATTTACAAGCTTTTCTTGTGTGCTGCCAACATCCCAGGTGGGTTATCACTTCGGTAAACCCATAGAAAGTGTGGTCTATTGCTTAATTAATACGGTTATTTAAGTTACTGGTTCACTTCCCGATTCCAAGTAAATCATTTCTTGTGGCTTTGAATAATCTTGTTAGACATTTAAGGTCAAGAAGCACGCCATGTGATATCTGTCATTTTCATATCTCCCCATTGTTCACTAGATTCCACTCATCACGATCAGACCCAAACCCATGGCAACAGCTCGAAGCCTCTTGGAAACGTTCCCTTGGAATCCAAGAACAAATTTCTCAAGATTCAAGGGGAACCTAATAATGAGAAAAAAGCCTCGCGTAAACAACTGAAGTTTGATGAGGAAAGCAGCTCCAATATTCAGACCAGGCTAAAAGATATTCTTGGCAGAGTTCCCTGGAATTATCATTCTGGTTCATTTGCTCCTTACGCTAATGGAGTGGGTGGTCTATCCCAAGAAAAGTTACAAGCAATTATGAATCAGTTGACCACTAATATCAGAGTTAACGGACGGAGGGTTTCTCCACTGCAGGCGCAGATAGTACATCAGTCATCCAACGGGGATTTAAACCCAAGCATGCCCGAGCTGAACGACATGCAAAATGACATGATGAGCCAACTTCAGGACTCTATGCAACCCAACATGCAAGGCAATATGCAGGATGACATGCAAAGCAGTAAGCCAAACGGCATGCAAAATGATGACACGGGTGAAAGCGAGATAAAGCCGATCCAGATACCTTGGAATTCAAAGGGTGGCAACAATGCTCAGTCTACGAGTCCCTCCACGTTTGAGCGTTTGATGTTTGGTGGCCTTTCTCAAATCGCAGGAGGTGGAGAAGAACAGAATAAAGGTTATTCCGATTTCGGAGGTGGTGTGAGTAACGTTCCTGGATTATCGTTTGGTGGTACACATACGAGTGGAGTCATCAACCTTATGGAGAGTGAAAATGGATTAAAACCCATGACTGGTATGAATGGAATGCGCAGTATGAATGGAATGATGACAGGAATGCATGGTATGTCGACGAATGGAATGGCTGGTAGAATGTGGGGAGGTCGGTCGTTCTTTTCCAGAAGGGGAGAAACTGTTGCAAATAAGACCAACGAGCTTTCAATAAGCAAAAACGCCGACAACGTCACTCGTGCAAACAAAACACATGAACATGGTTCTGCAAGTGAAATCCATCAAGTTCAAAAGTCGCACCACGAGACAAAGCCCAGTGTAATAAGGTTGATACCTAGTGACAGGCTAACCCGAGAAAAGGAATAAACTCGACAATAGAATTAAACCAACAGCTACGAACTAGACTCGTCGCTGACGAAGGCAAACTCATGAGATTTAAGGGAAATGGAATAAGATGTATTGTAACTGAGTGGTTCCTCAGTGTTTTCTTAAGCTTGATAGTCATGAAACTTTGACCTATCGTAGCAGCAAGAAATATAAATGGCTTACTGTAACTGATGTGCAAATTTAATGCACCTTTATCTGTTCTGGTTGTTATGTCTCGATGTTGTGAATTTGTAAATTAAACTCACTAATTAACACACTTAGATGCATCACCTGTTTATCTACTTATCACGTCGCTTGTAAGAAACGTACAATCAAATCTGCAACTACAAACTGATGCCCAAACGCCCATGTCAAAGGAACCCCCCCGGGGGGGAAACTCCCTTCTATAAACCATATAGGTATGTGCCGCCCCAAAGGGTGGGGTCTTTGTGCTACGCCGTTTCGGTCTGAAAGCGGGTATAGATTTTGGTCTTTTTGGTCTGAAATCGGGTATGGTTTCGAGGAAACTACGGAAGTCAGTATGAACGTATTTATCGTTTCAACATCAAATGAATCAGAAAGAAACAGTAAGATGCGAATGTCCGATGTCTGACGTCCGATGTCCGATTTCCCCTGTCCGATGTCTGATACACTGATGTCCGATGTCTGATGTTTCATGTCCGCTATCTGATGTTCGATGTCTGATGTCTGATGTCCGATGTCTCATATCTGATGTCCGATAATCTGATGTCTGACGTCCGAAGTCCGATATCAGATGTCTGATGTCTGATGCTGATATCTGATATCGGATGTCTGATGTCTAATGTCTGATGTCTGCTGTCCTATGTCTGATAACCGTTGTCTGATGTCTAATGTCTGATTTCCGATGCCCGATGTTCGATGTCGGATAGTCTGATGTCTCATGTCCAATGTCTGATGCAGAGATGTTTGATTTCCGATTTTGCTGTCCGATGTTCGATGTCTGATAGTCTAATGTCTTATGTCGGATGTCCGATGTCTGACTTTTTTGTCCGATCTTTTTGTCCGGTTTGATGACTGAATTGACGTCCGATCTGTTGTCCTATGTCCGATGTCAGGTGTCCTATGTCTGATAACCCATGCCTGATGTCTGATATTTTGTCCGATTTTTTTGTCCGATTTTTTGTCTGATTTGATGTCCGATTTGATGTCCAAGCTGATGTCAGATTTTATGTCCAATTTGATGACCGATTTCATGTTTGATTTGATGTTAAATTTGATGACCGATTTGATGTATGGTTTGAAGTCCGATTTGATGTCTGATTTGATATCTGATTTGATGTCCGATTTGATGTCCGATTTGATATCTGATTTCATGTCCGATTTCATGTTTTATTTGATGTCCGATTTGATGTGCGATTTGTTGTCCGATGTCCGATTTGATGTCCAATCTGATCAGATTTGATGTCCAATTTGATGTCCGATTTGATGTCCAATCTGATGTCAGATTTGATGTCCGGTTTGATGTCCAATCTAATGTCAGATTTGTTGTCCGATTTGATGCCCGACTTTTTGTCTGATTTTTTGTCCGTTTTGATGTCCGATTTGATGTCCAATCCGATGTCAGATTTGATGTCCAATTTGATGACCGATTTGATGTCCGATTTGATGTCAAATTTGATGTATGATTTGATGGCCGATTTGATGGCCGATTTGATGACCGATTTGATAACCGATTTGATGTCTGATTTTATATCTTATTCGATGTCCGATTTGATGTTTTATTTGATATCTGATTTTATGTCTGATTTGATATCCGATTTGATGTCTGATTTGATGTCAGATTTGATGTCTGATTTGATGACCGATTTGATGGCCCATTTAACGTCCAATTTGACAACCGATTTGATTTTTATTTGTCAGATTTGAAGTCTAGATTGATGTCCGATTTGTTGTCCAATTTGTTTTCCATTTACATGTCAGATTTTTTGTCTGATGTTTTGTCCGATTTGATGGTAGTTCGATCAGCTCAGTAGTCTAAAGTGGCAAGCGTAAATAAGGTCATTCTATGCTTAACAGCCATCCTACCGCGGTGTTCCTAGTATTAAATAAGATGGGTACCCTGTAATGTGGTCCACTTCAAGCTCAAATCATATCATTTCAGCTAACTAAAATTATGTTTTGCTTTTATTATTGTGCTGTCTTACAATGCTTACCGTGTCCGTATCCGTTTTACTAAGATGTCCGTTTTGTGAAGGTGACTGTTAAGAGAAAGTCAACTGTATAACATTTAGAGTCAAACTGTATTACATTAACAAGGAATTTCCTAAAAAAAGGAAGCAAAAAGCTCAAGACCCATCTCTTTTAGGACGCATTCTTATAGCATTTCTTTTTAGCATTTAATTCTTAGCGTTATTATAGCATTTTTATAGGATTTTTAGCATTACAGCGTTTCCTATTTTTTATTATATTGATTGTAATCTTAGGCCATGATAGATTATTATTTCTGTAAACGCATTGAGGCATGCAATCAACAATCCATCATCATCATCATTGTTATTATCATTATTTTCGTATTATTATTATTATTATTTATCAATAGATTAGGTAGTTTTTTGCCAACTGCATGATTTCTTCTGCCCAAAAAACGAAGCGTAGAAACTGCATTAATTTGTTTTTCTCTTTTTAATCTGGACCCATTTAAACTATAGAACTAAAATATTTCCGCCAGTTTAAAAACTTGAAAACTCCAGTCATATTTGTAAGGATTTTAGACACTACGGCTTTACTGGAAACTGGCGAAATCATTTTGACCCGAGCAACTTCCTAGCCTTGCCTGCTGGTAACGTATTGTTGGTGATACTTGCAAAACACCCACGCTTCCTGTAGCTGCCTCACTTTCCCGCCCATCGATGTGGTTCACTGAACATCTTTCTTTGTTCAACCTGGGGAAGCTCTCTAAAACGCGTTAAATATTAATCGCCAAAAGCAGAATGACGTCATTGTATCAACATTTTCGCTGTCAAAGAACCAAAACGCCGAGAAATTATATTGAAAATGTATGGCTCAAAGATATTTGAAAGATATCTAAATATTGAGTGTAAACAGATTTAAGCCTGATTCATCATAGAAGTAAGTAATCCTACTGTCCTATTATCGCTTTTAACTTGTGTCCAGTAAAAAGGTCTTTAAACAAATCAGGTTAAATTCAAGAGCGAAGACAAAACAATCGAAGGAGATAATTAGCGTTGAGGGCATCTTTGTTAACTTAATGTTATATTTATGTACAACAAAACGCACAGAGGATGACCGAAGTTAAGAACTTTTTACGCTCAGCAGTAGAGTTTCTGACCTTTGTGCTTCCAAACTGGCCTGTCTTAGGCGTGACTTGTGAAGAGGACCTCGTTAAGTACCTGCTATGTGCATTTTCACCTTGGAGGGCACAGAATCAATCAGTTAAATGCAAAACCACAGATTAAAAACTACCCAAAGGCAAATTTCATAACCTTAAACTGTGAACAGTTGAAGAGGTTCATTTGAATGGTTACATCACAGGATTTTGTCTATATATTAAAAGCCGGTCGGTAATTTTCGTCATGGCCAAGAAACGCAAAATTCAAGACAAAGAATTAGGTTGTGCAAAAGCTGGAAACAGCAGAGGAATTTTTCTTACAAAGAGTCAGCCTCTTTACCGATAGTTATATACTCCTATTCAACCATATCGCACTATGAAATTGGTGTTTGGGTGTTTAAAAAAAAGGGTAACACGATGATTAACGATGTTTAAAAGAACGGGTAACACGATGGGAAGAATGTTATGTAGTGCCAAATATCGTCCGTTTCTCTTAATAGAAGTATAAAATAGGGTAAAGAGAACGAATCTTAAATTTGCAAGATTGGATTTACCAACAGAGAAAAAGTTTTTCTGCTTTTTTTCTGAGTTGTGGTGGGAGAGCAGGACGTTTCGCAGTTATATTAGAGTTAATTGATATATTGATTGGATTAATTATATGGTTGCTTTACAGCTGATGTCACAAGATGTCCTTTGTGGTGTTACTTCAGTGAAAGATGGCAGACAAAAGACACCAACTATATTCAATTCTGCTGTTGTTTGCCGTTGTTAGGGAAACCACGACTACGGGTGCGTTAACTCTTCAAATTTTACCCGTGTGTAGACTCGACGAAATGAGGTCTCTTCTGAGTCCTTCTTCAGCTTGGAACAACGTTTAGGAAGTGATGTGTGCATTATCCGGACTTCAGAGCCTTGGGGTGGATTTCGCGTAATTTTTACGTGCGTTAATAAAATGGAAGCAATGTATGAAAGGCCGCTCGACCTTCCATGTATTGCCTTCTATACATTGCCTCTATTTCATTAACACGAGAATAAATTTACGAGCGAACGCACGTAAAAATTACACAGCAGTGGAAATGAACTGTTCGATGAACGTGTGAACTGATGCGATGTTGATTTTTGCAGTGTTCCTGGTACAACGCATAAGCGGTTTAAATATAACAGGCTATGTCCTCTAAGCCAACACGTTCTAGGCCCAGACATTGTTTGTCCAAGGCACTGTACTCAAAAAGTGAGTTAAAGAGAAATCTTGCCTCTGTTCCCGATGAGGTCTAGACTACATTTTATTCGTTAACATTCAGGCAATTCCCAAAAGTTGCATCATTGAAAGTTCTAAGCTGCTAGAATTTCGATTGAGTTCGAGAATTGTTTCACCTTTTCATTTACGTCGGTTTCAGTTGAAAGATGAAATATCACGAACATTTATTTTTAGTCATCAAATCGTCATAATACCACTGAAAAATTCTAACTGTCGTGAGCAAGTTGTTGGATGACGGTAAATCAGTGAAAGTTTTTCACACTGAGGCTTTTACTTAAAGGTTTTGAACTGTCCGAGACTGCACCTTCTTTCTTACAAGATCCTCAATGGAGCGTGGCAAGGCTAGAGATAAAAAAATTTAAAGAATCAAACACATGCTATTTCGATCTGAGGAATTGAAATACTTTTCACTAGGATGAAGTCTCCTTCAATTAATGAGGGTTGACTAAAACTCTTTGAAGAGAGGCCTTAATCACAATTCATTTATGTTCATTGCAGTTCAAAGAGAAAATTCCACCAATGAGTTTGCGCGGCAGTTTATTGTTCCACCAAGAATTCAGCAAATGGCATTGGCAGACAGAATGTTAGGGAATAATCCTTCCATGATGGCCTTCCGTGGACTTCCGGGTGCAACTACCGAGGTCACTGCACAACAAGTTGAAGACCAAATAAACCAGTTGAACCGGCTCAGTCAGCAGCTTCGTGCTTTACCTCAGTCTCCTTCAGCCTTCGAACAATTAGCTAAGGAACAGCAAAATCCTGTCTCTGGATATGTTCAACAGGCAAGCAGACTGACTCCTGAGACTGGATTTGGAAGACCACTTGGAGCAGTTCCAGGATACGTAAAAAGTGTTGCTGGAAACCCATTAACAGGACCCAATGGTCTTACAAAAGAGGTTTTAGCAGACTTGATGTTTGGGAATCTTAAAAGTTTGGCCTCAACAGGTGGCCTGGCAAATTTCAATAATCCTGTGGAAGTGAACGACCTTCCCCCCCAAACACTTGGAACTTCAGAACTGAGTGCATTCAACAATCCTTTAATTGAAGAAAAGCTCAGACAATCACCACTGGGAAAGCCTGGGATTGGATTTCCACTTCCGCCAAATGAAAATGTGGACTTTAACGATCTTCCTAACGATGATTTGGACACTTTGAAAGATTTATCCAACATCCACGCAAGACACAACACTAAAAGTGGGAGGAAGAAGAAACCAGTTAAATCAGATGTGGTTACAAAGCTTCTGTTGAGTTTACTGGTTGACAAGTTGAAAGACATATACGAAATGGACAAATTCAATACCACCCAAAACAAATCCTTAAAAACGAAAGTGGATTCTTCGACGATAGGAAAGATTGGAAATGCTTTAAAGGAGCGTAGTCAACCGAAGAACAGAAAGAACCCGACTGACAAAGCTGGTGAAAGTAACATCAAGGTGATACAAAATTTTGACAGCAACCTTTCCTTTCCTCTGACGATTTCGGATCAGAAAGGGTCCAAGGTGTCACTCATTGACTCTCCACAAAATGGTGGTAAAGATGACAGTTCTGCAATCAATGTTGACACCAAAAACATCGAGAATATAATAAAAGGCATCGAAAATGACAACGTGGAGCCCAAGGAAAACAGTTCTACCCAAAGAACTGGAAATGGTGTTGACTCTGGAAACAGCCCACAAGAAATTTCCGAGAAGACGACAAAGACTCTGGATGACGTCAGTCTTTTTAACAAAGGATCAAGTACTGAGTTTCACCAAGTGAAAATAGAACCCGATCGTGATGGTGTTTTAGGAAAGAGCGGAACTATTCCCACAATTTCAAACTATCATCCAACCGTAGATACAACATCAATAGATCCTAACCCAGGAACATTCGATGTTCAAACCGACAAAGCCACAGTGTCAACGCTACCCACGTTCTCTATTTCTTCTATACTAAACCAAGAAATCCCGGGAAGTGTCAAAGGAAGTAACCGCGTTTTAGATAATAATGCCTTAAAGGACGTCAAGGCTGAATCTATTGGTTTGGGGGGTTCTCCATCCACAGAGGAACCAGTTTCTTCAAAGGTGGCTGGAGAAAGCGACGCTGTCGATTATCTGCAAGCTTCCAGAGTTCTCGGAGCTGTATTCAACAAGGTGAGGGACCCACTTGCTAGAAAGAGCGTTGAAGTTGCTATAAAAGCCATGTTGAAGTTGATGAAGTCGGACAGTGCTTATTCCAAAAAGCAAACCGTTCCATCGGTGGAGGAGCCGTGGGTAAATCATGAAAAAATGGGAAGACTAATGAGAACAATCCACCAACTCTCTAAGGCAGTAGACAAGGAAGCGCAGGTAGCTTCAGATAAAAAAAGGCGTCAATGGCGATCCAAGCACAAAATTCTTAAGAAATGGATTTCACATAAACACTCACATCATCGCCATAAATCACGTCTCGTACGGCATCATACACGTAAATATTGAAATATAGTTGACGACAACACAGTTTCTTCAACAGCGTCTGGAGAAAGTGACACTGTCGATTATCTGCAAGCTTCCACAGTTCTCGGGGGTGTGTTCAACAAGGTGAGGGACCCACTTGCTAGGGAAAGCGTTGAAGTTGCTATAAATGCCATGTTGAAGTTGAAGAAGTCGGACAGCGCTTATTCAAAACAGTTCCAGCAGTGGAGGAAACAAGGGTAAATCATGAAAAGTGTTCAGGCTAATGAGAACAATTAAATAGAGTCAGCATTCCATGTCACCTTTCGGATTGTCACAGCCAGAAAACATGCCAGTCTTATTGAAAGAATGATAATAATAAAAAGTATATCATTGAAATTAATTACATAATAATTGTTAGGCGCCCTGGCAAAATAAAATTTAAGCTTATAGCTTTGTAAAAACAACCCTAATGATTTGGTAATTAAAAAAACAGCAATATTGCTAATAAAATGTTTAATTGCTATATGGCCATTGTGAGGAAAACCCTTTTGCCTTGTAAGTATTGACTCTAGAATTCTTCTCACTTTACTTGTCCTGCTTATATCAATGTTTAAGTTGGCTGATTGCAACTGCAAAGTTTCTTGTTGTTCTCTTCTTGCCTGCTTGCGTGCTTGGCGATGCGTACGTAAACTCTCAGGACAAGCAGAAGGTGGTAAAACCCTTACTGAGATTCCCTGTTTGTTCTAGGTTATTTCTTTAATTTCTCTGGTTTGAAAGCCCAAAATGAAAACCGTAATGCACACACATTGGTCGCCAACTACATGGAATGTGACCATTGTAGAAGGCAGGACTGATAGAATATTTATACTAGTAATAACCCAAGGTTAGGGAATGCGTGCGAGATCGGTGTAAACGCATTTGCAATTTGACGCTGTGCTTTGCGTACTTCGAGAAGAAGTGATTGCTTGTCTTGAGTGATAGAACGTCCAAACGCGTTTGATCAGTTTGTGTTCTGTTCGTTTTATTCATTGTTAATGGAAGTCCAAACGAATTCTAGCTACATACGTGCTGCGCATGTGTAACAGCAACCTGGAGATTAGGATTGCGGGCTCCTCTAGTCAACAGCAATTATCCCCACTGCCGTTTTATATTCAAATGATTTAATTACTACCACGGTGTAATAATTTGGAAAACTGCTACCTTCGCTCCTGGATGTGCCCAACGAAAAAGGGCAAGAAATATACCTCATTTCATGTGAGAAATTACCATTAGGAGTAGGATGTGCGAAAAGGTCCACTGGTGATCGTTGAGCCCTTAAAATTGGCTGTTTATGAGGGTGACGGACCCTTCTGTAATCTACATGGAAGTCACAGCTACAGTTACAGTAAAAACAGTTGCTCTCTAGGGGATGGGTGTTTACCTTATTGGTCAATTCCTGGATGTGGCATGTCGACTTGACTGATCAGCTGTCAGCTAAGGAGTGATGTTATTGGCTGTCTTGAGACTCGAAAACGAGATTCTAGGTGGTACGTTTTGAAACACCTTTTACACCGGTCTCTTGTTGATAACAATGAAGCATACAAATGGCAGCAGGTTGTTAAATGACACGTGCATTTATTAATTTACGGTGCACTGACGGTCGATTCATCTCTAAATCTAAAAAATAATATGAAAGAAATGATGAGGCTTCTATTTCAAATCTTGTCGCGTTGTGCTACTTTGTAGTAACCATAAAGAAACTGTGGAACCTTTTGACTTAAAAAAGGTCACCAAACCAAATTCTGTTTCTACGGCAGTTTGGAGCATGAAAACGTAATTTAAGAAGAGATTTTAGAAACTGCTGAATTTTAAGTGCTATATATTTGGTCTTATATTGCTGTTAGATAAAACCAATAGCGTATGATGAAGCCAGACAACCCATGCATAAAGAATGTCGTTTTTCTTACATCATTTAAACGAAAGCAATTGCCACCAATTTCGTGGGGAGCAAGTACGTTCGGAGCAAAAAAAACATGGCGATAAAGTGATATTTTTCAGCGACGAAAATTTTCTTTACATCAAAATGATATAGCGAACATGTAGCTGTGTATCGTTCAATCCTGATTCATGGAAGTTGTATTTTTAATGAATTGCAGGTAAGCCTTGATTCATAGACGATTCTTCTTACACTAAGATAATGGAAAGTGAATGAGTGGAATAGAAACTAATTTGATCATTATAAACCAATAAATTCGCCTCTTAAAAAATGCTATAAATTTGTTTAGATGTGATCAGTCACTCTATACTTTTGTATCTTAGGTAGTCTTACATAAGTTTTGAATGTTTCATTGACTTATTATAGCATTTAATTTGCGATTTTGGTGACCCTTTTTTGTTATTCTGTCTATACAAGTGCCTTAGTTTTCCTGCACAGTTAACCTCTTTTAAGAAAACATCGATATAGCTTAGATGCTCATTCGATTTTCTGAGTTGAGAGGCGGCAGCAAATTCGAAGGAGGGCACTTATTTCGCTTTCAGAATTTCGACCTGAAAATAACATCTTTTTTTTATCCACATTGTGTACAAACAGCAAGCTAGATCGTATCCGTCGTATCCGTAAAAGAAACTGTGTGTAGTCACTTTAAAAGTCCTCATTCCTTAACTTTTTCCCTTACGACCATACTCTATTACAATGATGTTAGAATCAACCGAATCAGTGGATAGCAATTTTCGCGCGTTTCGATTGGCTACCCTAACTCGGAATGTCCTTGCCTATAGGCCATTTCCGAGTTCCAAAAACCCTCACTTTCAAAACGAGGCTAAAGTGGCAACTGAGCAATGGCCTATTCCCCTTCGGGAAAATATAAAATCGCATAGCCGCAGCCCAAAGCAAATGAGCCACCTTAAAAGCCGGGTTGTATAACTCAACTTTACCTATTTCACTAACTTTCATTACCTTTCATTTATTGCTTTGCAGTAATTTACAATAATGAAGTTATTGTTGTCATCGTTTGTCTTCATTTCGAGCTATATCCTGTTTTCTTATGGTAAGGGCTTTCACCGCATTTGACTTTTAAAAAGTTTATACTTTGTGTTGTAAACGAATGTAGTTGAATCTATGCCATGTTTAAACATCTTTTTCCGTGTACTCACATAAACACTTCTATTGTTCATACAGGAATTCCGAAACAAAGAGACGAAGGTCGCAGCAAATCAAGTAATCTGACTCACTTTTTTCAAGAAATCGACAGCAACATATCTTTACCAGAAAATAACAACAAGACAAAAGACAAAGAGAATAAAGTAGACTTGACCAAAAGCTCTGCAGGGGATAAACATGAACAAAGGTTGAATGAGACCGATGGAACTTCTAAGACTCTTATAGCAAAGCATAAAACAAATCCCTCGAATACTTCTCATGATCAAAAGGCACAAAGAGTTGCGATTCAGAAACTTCTGTGCGACCTCCTCAATAAGACAAAGGGCAACCAAACCTGTAAAGATAGGAACTTTTCAAAGAAAGCCATGATATGGCCGACAAAAATGTTACCCTGGTTAAAAAACGTTCTGATGAGCAAACTACAACGTGGAAGTAATAATCATATGTCCTTTTTGGATAACATGGAAGACCCAACAGGATCACCTTTTGGAAGCAATTCAGTAAACAGCATCTCTGACAACTGGGATGAGAATCCCTTTTTAGTGCATAGAAAACATCGACATGGACTTAAAATGATTCCATTGTTAAAAAATTTGAAGGCAACACTTTTTGGACAAGCGCCGACTTCCAATGTTGGAAGTCTTAATGATGCGTTAAATAGCGAGACACTGAATGGATTTGGACCAATACCAACGCAGGGAAGCTCGCCCCTTGTTCATCAAATATTAAAACAAGCTTTGGGAAGTTCCGACAGGAATTCAGTTTTAAATGAAATGAGACAGGAGCTCCTTCTGGCAAGCGACCGTGGAGAGGGAGAAACCAACGAAGTCTTTGATGACGTAAATGGAAGAAACAATCTTGCTCAACTAAACGCTGGTGTTCAAGGAGATCCCGTGATGTCTCCACCTACTCAAGGTGTTGCACCATTTGCTGGCATGAACATGTTACAAAGTAATACGAGGACTCCAATGATGGAGCAAAATGTTCGTCAAGAACCTTTAATGGAACAGCCGATTCATGCCCAAATGCTAGATAATGGCGTCATAGCGCCGATGGGGAGACAGCCTCTTGATGGATCATCTTTAAAGGATGCGTCCTTTTTAAGTAATTCCCGTATTGGTGCGTCTTCACTTTTTAGACGCCCTTTTCAAACGTCGTCCTTAGCTGCATCCTCATTAATTGCTCCAACATCGAGACGTTCTCCACTGCAAAGCTCCTTCCTCGAAACAGCATCACGAGAAGGCTCCCTTCTTGAAAAAGCTGGCGGATTTGACATGCCTGCGACACCATCAATGCTTGGACGAACGTCAGCTCCAAAAGAAAGGATGTTTGCTGACAGTGTACAGGAGATGCCAGATTTTGCAAGTCGGCAAGAAAACTTCATCGAGCGTAACGAGCCTTTGGAGAGACATCAGAACCCAAGTCCACGTCCTCTACCTCGACTTCTTGGCAACAACTTGGTCATGGAAGAAATCAGTGACTCCATGGCTCGCGGCAGAAATCTCCCCGTGCAAGCTAATCCTGATTTGGAGCGTCTGATGAAACTACGTTCCCGACTCCGGTCAAGAAATCCCACTAGTTCACGGATGTCTGGCCTTGAACTTGGTAGTAATTATGGTGATACACTTCGTTTATCACCAAGCTCTAATTCATTAGGAATTGCCTCTGTTGTGGCCAAGGATGAAGATTCCATAAACTTCAACGATCTAAACTCTGAGCGTTCTTTAGCATTTAGAAGGGGGAAAGTCTCAAAGATAACAGGCAATTCTCGTGCCTATACAAAGAACAAAAGCAGCCAACAAAATCATAAAAAAGATAACACCAAGACCAAAAAGAGTTGACTTAAGAAGTTTCAGATTTCGAGAGGATTTGCAGGATAATGCATAAAGTATAGTTATCCTTGATCTACCTGTAAATTATGACATACTTCTCATTCTTATTTATTAGTAAACTGTCTGGGACAGTGAATAAAGCAGTGTTTTGATTTAAGGGGAGGAATTCTTGTCTTATTCAGGAAAAAGAAATTGAGTAATAAACAAGAAGACTCAAATGTTAGGAAAGCCAAATATACCCCCAGAATCTGAGGCATGAAAAAAAAATGCGCCAAATAAAAAGCGTGCAGTTTGCTCGGACCTTTTTGCAGCATTTGTCTAGCCTGTGTTTGAATTTAGCGCCTTGTTTTTCAAAGTAGTGTTTTAATAAGGAGATAAGTACAAGCAAACAGAACATACATACCAAGATCAACAAGAGATATTTTAAAGCAAAACTTCTCGGAATTACGACAAGGCTTTGCACTTTGCGATGGGTGAGGGTAGCTCAGACGCCACTTGAATTCAAAACCATTTTACCGAATTAAGCTCTCAAATTGTTCTGTGAATTTCATGTCGTGAAAGAGAAATAACTTGGTGTAAGTACAAATTTGGTTGCATGTCTTACTAATTCCCCAATTTTAACCGAAAATCAGTTTAAATTAAAGCCATTCAGATTTACTGATCAACCAGTGATTCTAATCCTGTATCGACTCGGGTAACATCTGATGACAAAAAGCTATTTACCCAGTGTAAGAAGAGTTACCGTTTCTTCATTTTGCTCGCGCGGTTTTATAATATTGGAGTCGGACAACAGGCCCTTTGAGCTAGCTATTCAGGTCGTACAAAACCGCCCTGCTGGAGAGCAAAAGTCGCACTGGGACAAGGAACAAAGGCATACATAATTTTAAATGGTAATTTCCTTTGTTTGTCTTGTCCCAGTGCCACTTTTGCTCTCCAGCATGGCAATTTTTTACCACCTGAATGGCTAGCTGCAAAGGACCTGTTCTATAATGAAGGGGGCGGACCACTGAGGTACTGGAACGCCAAAATATTCAAAAGAGAAGCGAATGCTTAACAGGAAGTGAATGCACCTTAGTGATCTTCTAGGCCCCTGGAATTTCTTTTCGTCTGCAGTACCTCTCAACACACATGAAGTTCCGCTTTTTATCACTGACCTATAACTTCAACGTTCAAATGAAACAGCTAACTTAGTGATCAAGCTGCGCGTGGTACGTAATCAACACACCTTCAAACCACAAGCGATTTGAAAGTAGCTGAATTTGGCAAACGGCATCCTGCTTGTTCAGACAGCAAACCTTTCCAATATTCTACAGATATTTAATCTCTTCATCAGGGAATAACCAGGAAGAACCAGGGTGGGCGAGATGTGGAGGTGCGGCCTGGCCCCTCATACCCTGGCCCTGTTTAAGACAAAAATCGCTGATTTTCCTTCCCTGTTTAAGACAGAATTCCGATTTTTGATACGCTGTTTAAGACATTTAACCCGAAACCATACCCTATGTAAGACAATAATAAATATCGAAACTCTTTCTTATTTCATCCATTGGCAATCACAAAACTATTTACAGCTTGATCAACAGAGTCACGAGGATCTTGTTAATATTTTGCTTTAGTTTAGTTCGTAGAACATGCGCGCAGGCTGTTTATCGTCCAAGAAAAGATACCATGTTTAACACAAAAATTGCTAAAATCGATACACTGATTAAGACAAAAAATGATAAAATCGATACCCTGTTTAAGACAAAAATCCAGAAAAACATACCCTGGCTGGTCGAACGTCCCCATTAAGCCCTTATGAGGGAGTACCCACCTCCCCCCGGGGACAGATCCCGCTCGAAAAAATTCTGTAAGGTATCGATCGAAATCCAGAAGCCTTTCTGAACGACTACTAGCTCAAACAATTATCGCGCCTCCTTACATTCTGAAACACAAAATCCACAATTCATTCGGACTACCTTGTCATGTTTCTGCTTCTAAAACACGTTGTCAGCAAGCGTACGAGGCCGTCTTTCTGATATACTTCCATTAGCAGTACAAAAGCAGCAGCTTGTCCCCCACTTTTTTCCTCTAAACGAGCCAAAAAATATCAAAAAAATGAATTCCTATTAAAACGTATTTCCCTTTTTCATTAAAATCTGCCATTGTTTTCTAACTCTCTTCCGTCAGCACCTCGGTGGTAATTTGTACTGGATTTTGGTGAATACTGTCTTAAGAAGGCAGTAGTGTTTTTTGTACTTTAGTGATTTTCTAACCCTCTCACTCCCGAAAATGGTTTAAGCAAAAACTCGACAAAATCTCCAAATTTCAATTTGTAAAATATTGAAAACCAAATAACATCATGTGAAAGTACTGCTGATAAAAGAGGTTTTTTAAATGATCACTGATCTGAGCCATGGACTTAAACTTTTGAATCACCTTTACCAGACTCCACCATGCATTCACGCTGGAAGTAAAAGACTGGTGTTTATAACAAACCAGAACTAATTAAAGCAAATGAGATACCCTCCATCGATCCTCTTGAAAAGCGACTAACCCACAACGGAACACCAGTCATTTGTCTCACTGGCCGGACGTCACTGATCCTCTACGTAAATAAATATTTATCACTTTACTGTTTAGATCATGGAAATAGAATGCGGCTCAGAAGGAACAAAGTTTGGTTATACTTTTGAGTAAATTTCTGGCTCCGTTAAGGAAAATTTAACCCAAGATATAATATATGGCTTCGAAATGAGGTAAGTGGTCTCCAGGCTTTTAGCAGCTAATTTTACATGCTCCGAGGCAAGACTATTGTTTTTGTGAAGCCACTTAACTTCTGAAATCTTGTTGTTGCAAATTTCTTCAACAAATTAAACTGCCAATCAATTACTTTATTATGACAGACTCGCTTTCTTTATTAAAGTTAGGGTTTGTTGTGGTTTAGCCTTTAAATCGTGTGCCAATTGTTCTGGAGGGTGTAAAATAACAATGTAACACAAGTTTTAATTAGTTCTTGATACAGGTACTAGCGATAACTTTCGATGGAGATTTTTTCGTTTTAAAACGCTCTCTCTCTTTTAATAGTTTGATCCTGCACTCGTACGGAGTTTGTATTTAATTCCATTTTTAACTTAAAGATTTCTTCGAACTGTTTTATTGTTATAGAGTGGTATACAGCCTTGTGTTTGGTCTGCTTGTCGTCTTGTTATTGAAGGAATCCCTGTCAACCTTAGCAGGTAAAAAATCACTTTTCTGTGTCTCACAGATAATTTATTGTGTCTCTTCTGTACACTGGAAAAGCCAAACTCCACAAAATTGAGGAAAAGAACATTATATTCCAAGATGATCGAATCTGTTTTTAGAATTATTCCCCTATAGTACAGAAAAACATTGTTATATCGTCAACTTGCTTTCTCTTAAATCTCTAAAACTGATTCGCACAACAACTGGGTTACGGATCCATTCCACTGTCAAACATTGTAATTTTAAAAACGATAGAGATTTTTTTAGAATTCTTTCTGTTAATTCTAAACCAATTTTCCTTTCCCTAGGATAATCTAGAAACTGCGACTCCAATGTCAGTTTGGCTTTTAAATAAATAATTATGCCATTTTATGATAGTCGACAGGAACAACAAACCATTAAGATGTTGTCTAAAAGAGTACTGAACGGACGACTTGGTATCGCTGAATTCAGCCACCTGAATTGCGATGTTAATTATTTTACTATATCGATTGAAATTCACAATTTATCGAATTATCTCTACTTGGCCCGAATTACTTTAGTACTAGAGCGGTTTTCACTTGACTGTCTAAAGGGATTGGTTTTGGTTTTGGTTTTGGTTTTACTACGCCCTTTGGTTGGCTAGTGTGTTTACTTTGGTTTTGGTTTTACGACAGTCAAGTGAAAACCGCTCTATTAAGAGTTACTAGAGGTTGTATGCCTTGGTTGTTAACGAAGCGAAGAGAGAAAGAAAATTTTAATAACTAGACTGCAAAACAGTCCGTATTTTTGCGTATTCAAGTACGCGCGAGCAGTCAAACAAAAGGTCTGGAATGAGGCTGAAAACAGAGAGCGAGACTGGGGAGAGACGCTAAAAATACGGACTGTCCGTTTTGCATACGTTATATTCGTTCGAATTACCCGCTTCTCCCAGCCACGGCCAATTCCCATTGGCTAAATTTTGATGCAAGCTGTCACCAAGCTGTCAAGTAATGTTTTCAACATGTCATTCACGTTGTTCCATACCGTGATGAATTGCTAAAGCTTTTGCTGTAAAATGACAGATGTTGATCGCCTGGATTTGCTCGCAAGAATTGGGATTTGTTTTAAAATCGGAGCAGAGGGAAGCTTTGGAGTTGCTACTCAGGGGAAAGGATGTTTTCTGTGTTCTACCAACAGGATTTGACAAAAGCCTTATTTATCGGATGTTTGTTCATTCAAAGAGTTCTTCAAGTTCCGTGCAACGGCCGATCGTCATTGTTATCTGCCTGGCTAAAAAAGCGGGATCGGTAGGAAACACACGACTTTTACCTCATGCAAACATGCCGCTTGTTCCAATGAATTGTTTTCTCTGTCGAGTAGATTATGCTTTGGAGGAAAACGTTTTGACTGAGCAAATGTGAATATATTTCATACTGAGAGGTCATGACACGCATATTGATTTTCTCTGGTAGGCATGATTTGCCCTCTGAAGCAAGAGCATTTTCTTTCTTGGCTCCTTTAGAAATGTAAAGCTCTTCATTGCGGCTGATTAAGGGTTTTAGGTTGTTTTATTTCTCCAAAGTGCTTCCTGGATTTGAATAATTTTAAGCGATTTTCTTTGTGTCCGTGAATGTGACTTTTTCCTGCAATGTTTTGTCACGCTGGGCCCAGCTCGTTAGCATTTTTGGCAGGATTTTCAATTCTCACAGATAGTAATTTACAGAGCTAAATCACCAAGACGTGGTTTGGAATGAGGGGATTTACTCATTATTTTCAATCGCAATAATTGTTCATTGTCAGTTGGCGTGTTCAGTTCTTCTCTAATTTGCGAAAGCATCGCCGTGCAGTTTCCCGGGGCAATTTCTAACCGTTGTTCCGCACAGAGAGCAAACTGTTCTTGTGGAGAAAGATTCTCCTTCCTTGAGGACAACGAAAAGTTCGTTTTTCAGTAGGTCGGCCCACTTTGGTAACGTTTCCCCTTTTCTGGTAGGCACAACAAACGCATTTTCCGAGCTTATCCATCCATTCCTAAAATTGCCGAACTGTGTTTTGAAACAACAGCCGCACATTCTACAATTTGTCCAAAGCCCTCGGCTCTTTCGGCTTTCTCCCTCTTCGAGGAGCAGGCACAGGCTTTGTTGTCGTACTGCCACTTTCACTCATTTTTGATCCTCACTATATATACTACATTTCACTATATACACTACATTTCACACGGAAGCAACGCTAAAAACTGCTTTAGAATTACTGGATTACAGCGTCAATAATAACACGCGAGTCTATCAAATTCACAAGGAGGGCGGAGTTGCGAACAGATTTTTGACAGCTCGATGACATTTTTGAACCCCCTGGTCGGAACGAACTCATTGTATGGAAAACGGACAGTCGGTTTTTTTTCTCTCGCCTCACACGCCCTACGTGCGTGTGAGGCTCGCGCACTTCGCGCGCGTAAGACTCTTACGCCACGCTTTACCAATTTCTTTACTCATTTTGAGAAAAAAACCAACTGTTTTGCAGTCTATTTAATAACTGTTGTTCTTGTAAATTTTTTTTCATGTAATGACAGACTTGCATACTCGTCACAACCATGATGCGAATGAATGGAGAGTTGTACCTCGAGACACTGAAGCTCGTCTCCAGAAAAACGCCAAGTTTGCGAAAGCATTGCTAAGAAGGAGGCTGATGAGAAACGAAAAAGCGAGGAAACATTCCGACGTCACAGTTGAGAATGGAGTATTTGCAGAAATGAATGAAAGTTCTCCAGATCGTCTCACAAACAAAACCCAAAAAATGGTCGAAGACGTAACGGGAACTGAACTGAAAGCTCCTCAGTTACAATCACAGATGCAAGATAATAACGGAATCTTAGGTGTCTCAGACGAAGAAGATAGCGCTAAATGGGCAGCTTCGCAAATAAAAATGATACCAGCTAAGTTAAACCGCAACGAGAAAGAATCCAAAGCAGTCCAGGGAAACAAAAGTATCGAAAATGATATAGGCTTAAAAAATGATCGGAGGCTAAGTTCGCCGCAACATATCGCCCAAATTCCTCAGACTATTGAAACATCTAAGATGGTAGCAGCTTCGGATTTCAAAAATTTGAAGCCTTCCAACGACAGTAAAATACCTGGGGCAAATGCAACGAAATCAATGATCAACCCCCATGGTGGTGATATTAACACGGTACTGGAGCCTTATTTTTCACAGGGAATAAAAGGAAACGCTGGCAATAGCACTAATTCCAACTTAGCAGTAGATCAAGCAAATTCTTCAGCTGTACAATACGATGCCCCAAACAGCAATGTAGCTGACAGTATGGAGAAAATGACAAATGAAACTGCTTCCAATCTTGCAGGACTCTCGTTACAGACAAACCACTCAAGCATGGAATTGCTTCCGTTGAAGAATACTACAGCAACTAACCACGATGACGAAGAAAAGGCACCTTCGCTTTCAATCAATGTCACAACTTTAAGGAAAGGGCAATCTTTTGACTTGCAGATGCCGAGTTTGAAAACAGCAGAAGGAACTGTTCAGGATAATCACCTCCACATTGCGCCACAAATGTCGTTTTCGTCTGAATACGTTTCGGACAGTTTACAAAACTATTCCGGTCACTTGCTCAACGATATCTATAATACTGTCAGTGATTCTGTTCAGAAAAACGAAAACGGTTCGCAAAAATTAAATTTAGATAGTGTGTCAAGAAAGGTGAAGCCTCTAAACAGGAAAGTAAGTCCCGGTGCTGGACTCTTTGATGAAGCTCTCCGCGAAGAAAGGCCAGCTGGCCGAACCTTTGCAGACAAACTCTTGGAAGATGCCTCAATACAAGAATTACTTAATGGCAAGCCGGAGCAACAAGCCCAACAAGTGCAGCAAGATGAAACTCTCGCACGGGCTCTAAATCAATCCTCGGTTTCGTCTATCATCTTTTCTGCTAACGAAGCTATTTCCAGTAGTGACTTGCACGCTTTCTGGAAGAAGAGTAAACAAGAGGTCGTTAATACTGAACGTAAAGGGGTCAAGTACAAGCGAAGCAAAGTTGCCCATTCATCGCGCGACCGTCACAGAAAACACAAGAAACATCACCGTACAGCGACTGCACGTCAAGTTATAAATTTTGGCAACCATTTACTATGGGTCGGTGGCCAGGGTGCGGCTGATGCTAACGGCTTTCCGCGCCACGATGCGACCTCAGAAGATCCCCAGTACAACGTTAATAGTTACGTTTCTAGTCTTCTTAATTCGGGGAGTGAAAAGGATAAAGATGGTACAACCAAAGGATATAAAGCGCTACAAAACGCTTTGAGTTCCATGGAATCCAATCAGGGAGAATATGATTTGTCTTCCCAGAATAGCATCCCAGGTAATAAAGAAATGCATGACACTGGTCAAGAACCAGCTTCAACAAGCGTTCTCATCCAAGATGAGGCAGGAAAGCCAGTATATCAAGGCCTTGTTAATATCGTCAAATTAAATAAAACAAAATCGGATGACAATGTAACCAGTGAGGTGAAACTTCAAAATGAGGACGATGCTTCCACCAATAGCAGTGAACGTTTTCAGGCCGAACAAGAATCATTAATGGAAATGGGTTCAAATAATCAGAGTTTAATTTTTGGAACGAATACCACCACATCATTGCTAGCCGAAGGGGGCAAAAAAGTAAATGAAACTAAAGCTCTGGATGGTGCAGGACATGGAGATAAAAATAACTTTACTGTGTCCAAAGAAACTGGCGCTGATCAAATTCCGACTAAGGAAGGGAACGAAATTAGCCAAGATGAACAACTGCAATCTGAATATCAAGATCAACAGCACCCCTCAAGTGGAGCACAACCATCCGCTATCATAAATAAGCTAAAAAGCAACTCAAACGAACCGGAGACTTACCATATCGTAGTAAATGATGCACAAAGAAAGGTTACAAATGCAAATGGCCATGTTACCGTTATTATTTCTGGTCCAACTGCAAATGAAGCCACTATGCCTTCTGCGGATGCTTTGCTTATACCACAAACAAATACCTCCGGTTCTTTCTCGGAAAACAGTGCCATTTCTTCTAACGAAAGCCTTTCGAAAGCGTCAGGGGATGGGCAAAGCTCATTTACACAGGCCGATCAGTTATCACACAGCTTAGCTAATGGAACTCAAGGCGTGACATCTCAGTCTTCATCATCTGCAAACAAAGCTTCAGCAAACAGTACCAATGGATCCCTTTCACTTCTTAAGGAAGATGCTCTTTCAGCGTTGAAAATTTCGCAAGGCATAGAGGGACAACTAAACAATGGCCAAACCCAAGTGGAAAGAGAAAACCAGGATTCGAAGGCCTCATCTTCAGACGCTGGGCAAACTAAACCTGTTGACATTCCAAGCACAGATTATCTAAAGCAGGCAGGACATCACTTTGTCAAGATTGGCCAGGATCTTGAAGGTGGAGTCGATGGTCTTCAAATCGAAGAAGTTTCTCGACCTAACATACAGGAGGAGCAGCGAGAAGAAAAGGAAAATCCTCTCATAGCTGGAGAAAATTATTTGGAGGGTATTGAAAAGGCTGTGGCGGTTCAATCTCAAGATGTTCCTACCTTAAATATTATTTTAGACCCATCACAGAAATTTGGCTCGTCTTTATCGGTTGGTGGTAAAGTAATTCCGCTTGGCACAGGCAAGTCAGGGGGAGATTCTATGCAAACCGCTGGCGGCAACAAACAACAACTAGACTGTCATGCTGACCCTAAAGAAAGAAAGACAACGGTGACAATTTTGACGTGCCAAAAGAAACAAAGTCTTCCGAATATTCCCATGTCCTTAAGTGGACAAAATGTAGGATACTTCGGTGGTGGCCAAACGTCTGGTGGACCCTCTTTACAGCTCGACCAGGTGATGAATGTCCTCAACGATCAAGTAAAGGCAACGATAAATAAGGAAATGTATTCGGAAAGCAAAGACATTCAAAAAATGCTGACAGGTATGACATCACCGAGCAGTACTCTCTTGGACACTGACGACGCTTCTTCTCAAATGGGTTCACGTCAGCGGTCACCTTTGGTGGGACCTGATGAATTTACCTCACTGCCAGAAGACGAGGAGCGTGGCAGATGGGGACGTCGTCACCCTCATCACCGGAGAATACATCATTATGGGTTTCCTTTCACTACTGGAGTCCCTAATTACCTTGGACTCCTTAATAATGGATTCCCTACACACAGGCGTCATTTTTGGGGCGTCCATCGTCATTCTAATCCCTTCGTGGTGATGGCTCATAAAGATCATAGTGGGGAAGGCTACTGGGATTATCAACACAACATTTTCATTCCCCATGAAGAGGGGGATGATGATAATGATGATGATGATGATAATGACGATGACGATGATGAAGACAGCAGAGAAAAACACTGGATCCCGTGGAGCCAACAAGCTCATAGAAAAGGAGACTGGTTTATGCCCCATTCACGTTTTTACCAACCCCATTTCTCTCCGACCACGCACCATGATATTTTTCATCTTCGTCTTCCTACCCTCTTCGGAAGATCAGGCCCTTGGAGGCCTCCTACGAAGCATAAACAAGAGCAGGGGGCAAAGAGAACGGCAGTGGTGCATAAGACAGTCAGGGGGGATAGAGACACTTGTAGACCGATTATCGAGGGCCCATCCCCTCCCCTGAAAGGTGAATGGGAGTACCTGGGAAAGGTTCTGTGCAGCTGCCCTTGCAGGTTGAGTGATGCTGAATGGTGAAGAGATAAGTCAAAGAAAACAGAAACAATCCACTGGCAGGAATATACAAACTTATGTAGCAATTTCCTGACCGTTGTTTTTATTAACAGCTCGTAATTTTGATTCGTCTGTTGTAAGAAAGACGACACGCATGAAAGAAAAGTATTTCGAAGATTTTTGAGCTTCCTTTGCTTCACTGTTCTCAATAATATTACTACTCTTAAAGCTCTTCTTTGCTTTTTGAGGCTTTCTATGATAATTTGGAAAAGGTTGCGAATACTGTTTAAATAGTTTTGTTATCGTGGTGTGAAGTTTGAAGATCATGATCGTTTCGTCTCAATTTAGTGTTGCCATACAAAAGCATTTATTTATTTGGTTCATTTTTTAATGTTAGACTCCACACGTATGCGTTTTCTTTCGTGAACGCTAACAAAGTTTTCGTCCACAAGAATCAGGAGACCGTTTGAAAATCTCTCGCAAGATTTCATTTGAACACGGGAGCTAAACCAATATTGTGAGTGCTAGAGTATTAACAAGTAACCACACTCGGTTACAACACGACTACAGCGTCGAACCTGCGAGTACAGTCACCTCAGGGGTGGATCCAGGAAACCTTGGGGTTTCAAACTTTGGTCCAGAAAGGACTGTTTAACATTTTTTTGTGACCAGCTGAGAAAGCAGAGACGACCACGTGTTTCTCAATCTGTGAGCGCGGGTCGCCGTTGGCGCGGAAATACTGCTTTGCGAGCAGAGGCGAACAGATTATAGGAGGGTACCCAAAAACGATTACATTTTTGAATATATGCATGCAACGCGCGTTTCATACAAAATTCAACCTGTTAAGAAGTGATATACGATCCTGTCGATGTAAGAATTTCAGTCTCAAACAAGCGTCAGGTCGATAGTGGGGGTGTGGACCCCACGGACCCTCCCCTCGATCCGCTGCGGTACTTTGCCTCCATCATGTAGCCTGAGGAAATATTGTCTGAAAACACAGCTTTAAATGGTTGGTTATGTCGTTTTTTGTGGACGAAATCTGACTTACATATACGTTTCACGCACGTTAGCGTATACTTAGGGTGGTCGCCTTGGAAGAGTTGCTTCCGATAGCTATTAGCATGTGGATAAGGTATGATACAAATACCACTAACCGTTTTAATTAAGATATTAGAACAGAAAACAGGCTGTTAAAAAAATTCCTTCCTTTTAAGGAACAGACTGAATTTGAAGATAATTTTTTGCATATGTAATTGTGACTTGAATTCTGCAAAGAATTTCAAATGTATGACATCCAGAAGTGCAAATAAAATTGAATTAACCTGGAACTTATCTGGCGTTTGTCACTACCACTGAAGAATAATGTATCTTTGAGGGTCACTGACAAGATAGGGCACAGAGGAAGCTGAAATTTTTTAAAACTGATTCCCGGGACAGGAAGGCTATGGGAGATGGGGAGGAGGGAGGGGGGGTTGCAGCATGCTTCTCTTTCCAATGCTTCCCTATTTCAGACTTGAATTGCGTTTCTCAAAAGACCGTTGATAAAACATAACCAATTCTTGACTCCAGTTTCAGAACTGCACAAAACGTCAACCTATGTGAGATTTCACACCAGAAGATTTTAAAACCATTCCAATTTCCACCGAGCATAAACCGATACAGTGTATAGCATCCCCTTTTATCCTGGGTTCTCGGGATAAAAGGAACCACCGCAACGACCGGTACAACCGGGACGACCTGTTTTATTGGGATGTCTTGAATGACCAGTATGGCCCCTATGAGTGGGATGACTGGCATAACCACGACGGCCAAAACAAGTAGGACAACAAGCACAACAAAGAAAACCGGGAAAACCGGGATAACCAGAGGCAACCAGGACAACCGGGGCAACTGGGAAAACTGGGACATCGAGGAAAACTGAGACAACCGAGACAACCAGGACATCCACCTAACTTGGACAACCGAGACGACCGCGACAACCGTGATGACAGGGAACCAGGGAACTGGAACAACTGAGACAAGCGGGACAACTGGGACAACCGGGAACCACCGGGACAACTAGTACAACCGGAACAACTGGGACAACCGGGACAACAGGGACAACTGGGGCAATAGGGAAACCCCGGACAACCCTGAAAACCGGAAATACTGGGACAAGCGGGACAACCAGGTACAACTGAGAAAACCCGGACAATCCGGTAAACTGGAACAACTGGGACAACCGGGACAACTGGGGACAACGCGAACACTTAGGACAACCGGGACAACTGGGGCAACCGGGACAACGGGGACAACGGGGACGACTGGGAGAACTAGGCAACCGAAATAACTGGAACAACCACGATAACCGGAGACAAGCAGGACAAGCAGGACAACTGGGACAACTGGGAGAACCGGGTCGACCATGACAACTTGGACAACGGGGACAACTGGGCGAACCGGGCAAATCACCGGCACAACCGGGCCAACGGGGACAACTGGGATATCCGGGAGAACTGGGAACCGGGGTGACCAGGGCAAACAGGACAACTGGGACAACCGGGGACAAGCAGGACAACTAGGACGACTAGGACAACCGGGAGAACCAGGACAACTGGGACAACTGGGACAACCTGACCAAGCGGGACAACTGAGAGAACCGAGTCAACCAAGACAATTGGGATAGCCGGGACAACTTGGATAACCGGGACAACTGCGTCAACTTGGAGAACTGGGACAACCCGGACAGCCGGGACAACTAAGACATCCAAAATAAGTAAGACAACCATGACAAACAACGGGGAAAACTGGGACTACCGGGACTACCGGGGCAATCAGGGTCAACCCGGTCAACCGGGACAGCTTGGATATCCCGCACAACTGGGACAAACTGGACAACCGAAACAACTAAGACAACCGGGACGACTGGGACAACTGGGATAACCGGGACAACTAGGAGAACCAGGAATAAGGTTTCTAAACCCCCATCATTCCTAATTCGCCACCCCAATCTCTTTTGCTTTCTTTGAAAATACCCAACAATAAAGAGAACACTGTTCACGTGCATGTGCTCTGATCAAAGTACGTCACAGTTTTCATAACATCGAGAATAAACTTTATTAGAGACAGTCATGTATTTCCTTAATCTCTTAATCCAAATCTACAATTAGAGATCCCGGCTGAGAAGGAAGAGTGGCCTGGGAGTAAGCGCGTAAGAATCGCGACCCAAGGGCCCCGGGTTCGAGTCCCGCTCTGACCATTAGCTGCATTTGTTTCTCAGTTGTCCTGAGTTTAAGTCCTCGGCCATACTTGGGAAAAAGCTACTGAATTTCTTCCTTAACAATAGAATCCAAACTAGTGAATTCAGAATGTCGGATCTGCAAACTGTTGAATTCAGAATCATCCGTCATCACCCGGCCTACTGATCATGTGGAAAAACCACGATATTTCGAGCAACAACAATTTGCCAACAGTTCCCTTTCAATAAGTCCAAACATTTGAATTCAGAATGTTGGAGCTCCAAGCATTCGATTTCCAATCCGAATGCCATGACTTCAAAGAATTAAATTCAGAACTCCAAACATTTAACTTCAGAATGTCATAACTCCAAACTCTTGAATTTAGAATGTCGCAACTTTAAACTCTTGAATTAAGAATATGGAAACTTCAAACTCTGAAGTTCAGAATAAATCGGAACTGCAGGTTAACTCTTGAATTCAGAATGTCTGAACTTTAATCTCTTGAATTCGTTCCTGTCATTCATTTTAATGAATAAAAAGTTTGAAAATGATGTTTTTGAAAGTGATTTTGGAGCTTAAAGGTTTCTACTGGTATTAAAACATTTGTCTTGTATTCGGGATAACGTATCCACGCATATATGGGGGCATTCGGCTGAAGAATCTTAACAAAGAAAAGTTGAAACTTTTTACATCTAAAGGACAGTAATCATCTTTAAATGTTGGATTTCGTTGAAAATAGCCTCGGTGTAGTTCTTCATCTTAGCATTCGTTGTTTACACGCGAGGTTAGACTTTTCTCCTCTGTGCGTAGACTGCACCAAAAAAATAAAGGTCAAGTCACCAAGAATTTACTGATAAACAAATGGAAGATTTATAGAGCAATCTTATGTTCATGGATGCTTAAAACGTTATAGGCAGGAAGGCGTATGTGACCTTTGCCATCCGAGTGAAGCTTTGGCATTACATCATTAAAGGTTGGACTTTCTGGCCAACATTGCGGACATTTTCGTAAATATAGCCCTTATTACACGTTATCGGGAAATATTATAAAAGGTGAGCGACTCTGAATTAAACATCTTGCTCTCTAAAATAACCATTAATTCTAAAGATGTTTTCCATATTTTCATTTATGGCTTATTATTATTGATTACACGGTGGTCAACACACCAGGTACATTAAAGTCAGCCATTTCTGTCATATAACAAATGATGTTTTGTCTAGTTAACGGACTGGCAAAAACTTTAAAATTCCTTTTATATTTTCTTGGCGTAAGAGTCTTTATTAGTCCTAGAGTAAGCTGTAAAGGAGAGACCTTTCATTTAATTTTTACAGGATAAACTTAAAATGAAATCACGGAGATGACAGCGAACTGTGTCCGGCCACTAATATTTGGTAAAACAACATACATCAAAATATGTTCTTTGGGTTTGACCCATAAGACACTGAAGAACTAAACAACTAAATGATCTTTCATTGCTTGCTTTTGTCGTCTTTTTTTCTCAAATGATACTTGGAAAAGACGAAAATAGCAGGTATAACCAAACGGGTCGAGTGTGAAAGCACCTGCCGATGTTATGCTTGATTGCCTTTAATCTCAGTTCTAGTTCGCTAAAATCGAAAATATAAATCTTAGCTTCAAAACGTTTCTATTTCCAGACTGCCATACAAAAGGAGCAAGTTTATATCTATGTCCCAATGTGATGACCTTCTGAGGGAGAGAACACAGACATGAGAATTCTGGAGCTTCTCCTCATACTTTTTTTACCAGAAATTTCTGCTTCCCATTCAGGTAAGAGGCAGAAAATTATTTTTAACAGAATTTACAAATAACACCTATCAATGACCTTGTAAGTAAGGTTGTTTATAGAACTATTTGTACAATGATATCGACTGTAAAATTCGACATTGCAGTAAATTTTTATCACTTATTTTTGAAGTCTTGGACTACCCAAGTTACTACACTTCGGGGGCAGCTGATAACTGCTTTATAGCATGAGACATTCAACGTATAACCGGATGTTTCTTATTTTATTGTGAACTAGGAAGGAAAAAGGCGAAAGTGTACCACGGCAAAAGGAACTTCCTTGCCGATGCTATGCGTGAAATGGAAAACGGCGAGAAGGCATCAAATCCCGTCTCTGCAGTAGGAAGCGTTCCAAACGTCATCAGAGTTGTAATGAAACCGGAAGTACCTCCACGGCGTCATCACCACCATAGACATGGAAAAAGACATCGGGAAAACCTGACATCCTTTCTCAAGCTAGCTGTAAGGCTTGATAAAGCTATCAAGGGATCACATAATAACAAGAGTGTGCAGCAAGACAACGGAGAAAACGCACTCAAAGATACTTTTCAATTTCTTGAAAGAGTCAATGAGCAATTACAAAATATGTCACAAACAAATACGAATGGTGAGCGTAAAATTTCTTCTGAGGTAACCAATGGTTCCAAGGCACAAGTAACCAAAGATTTGGTGCAAAATGATACGTTTCCATTATTTCCTGAATTGAGAAGTATCGTTGTGCATGGAAAGCCATTTGACCCAGACGCAACAAGGGCAGCATTTGCGAAGGCCAAGCAAATTGTTTGGGAGAGCGTTGGGCAAGATCCCACAGGAACAGATATAGGTCATCTCAATAACACTAAACTAACCAATGCCGTTGCTTTGCTTGAAATGGCCGTAAGGGAAGCGGAAAAAATGCAACGAAATAATACGAACATTGTCAATCAAGGAAAGAGTGTTAGTGACAAAATTCCTGACACCACCCAGCTCAAAGTGCCGAGTCAGAGATCAAAACAAGATTCACACCAGTTAAAGATTCTTAAGCGTCTTCTATTACAAGAGCTTCAACAGACAAACTACACTAAAGACCAAGCCGGTATTGTTATCAGCGACATACCGTTTCAGAAACTAAGGGGCAATGAGCAAGCTAATGCAATGCACAAACTACATAAACCATCAGACAACTCCTCGTTGGAGTCCAAACCAAGCTTCAGTAGCAAAAGCAAAAAACCGACTGGCGGGACTTCGGCTCTCTTAGACAAATACACTTCATTTATCACTAACATTCTAAAAGCTGCACACCTCAGCTATATAAAGAATTTGACTGGTAATGCAAAGAACATGCCAGCCAAAAATAGCGCCAATTTGAGTCTAAACAAGCAAACACAGGGAAACAAACCGGTTATTCCGACACATGGTATAGGAAATATTTCTCTCGAGGAATCAACAAAAGGCCAGCAGATCAACGAGCCACAAAAGGGAAAAGGAGATCAACTTCTGTCATTTGCTAATGCAGTACAGGGGCAAAATCATCAGCAGCAGCAACCTCAACAAAGGCTTTTCCAGCCTATCTTGTCCAAAGACCGTCTGGCAGCAAGAAAAGCATTTGGTACCGCTCAAAAATTGGTTAAAGCATTTCAGGCCAGACAAGAGCTTTATAAAGCGGAGAACGATTTCTTTAAAAGAGTTCATGAAATGCTCAATAAAAAGGATGTAAGCGAATCACCGGCTGAGAAACAAGATTCTACATTAGCTAGCCAGCCGACGGTGGCTAGTCCTATCCAATCCCCATTAAGCCAGCCACCGGTAAATACTGCAAACGGCTTAACGGGTCTTGGGGGAGAAGGTAAAAAAGAAACATCAGAGGCTCAGAAAAAGTTTGAAGAGGCGGCACATCTTGAAGAAAAAGTTGCAGCCCAACAGGATGCGATGTACGATGCCTTAATGGGTCACTCGACTCGAAACAAAGGGCTTGGCGGATATAACGAAGATGGAGCCATCCGTGGAATACCGGAACAAGACGATGATTCCTACAACACGGAAGACTATGGTGATTTCAAAGATAGTGACGAGGAAGCAGAAAGAAAGTTTTACCACGATCATCGCCAGGGTGATTTTGAGTCCAAAGCTGAAGATGACACTTCTTTCAGTCTCCGTAACAAAATAACCTCCATGAAATCTAAGGGGTCAGGAAGCATGGAATTTAGCGGTAATGGTCGACGAAGCGCTCACAAAGACACAAAACCAACCATCTCTAAGCTGTATTCTTCATTTGAGAGTAGCGGGGATCATATAAGAAATAACAAACTGGTGTCAAAAACTCACAAGAAGGCCATTATCTCGAAGCCCAGTATAGCATACCACTTGATCAAGACAAATCGAAAAGGTTCAAGATCCCGACGAAAAAACATTTCTGCAAAACGAACAATTATCCCTAAAATAGTAAAAAAGAAGAATCCACTGGAAAAGGATATAACAGTAACAAATCTGCGAATACACGTTTTGTAACTCACTCTGAAATAATGCCGAAAAAAAGCTTAGTAAAATAAAACGTCAGTTTCCTTCGCATTAGCCAGAGAAAGTTCTCGTAACATTATCATTTTAAGATTTCATTTGTAACCGAGCACTTTCGCAGTATCGCATTCTATGTTTCGTGGTTGCTGTATCTATTTGTAAGCACGTCGCTTGTAGTTCATGTCCATATAATCGTAACAGTTATTTACTAATATTGCGCCTTTTAACATGCAATGATCAAAGGCGCATTACATCAAGAGTTCTAAAATCTAATGAAATTTTCAAAGAAAATAAAATTAAAAATACTAAGAATCAAATGCTTGTTTAAAAAGATTTGTTTTGAGTAAGGAGTTAAAGTGTTGAACTGTTTTTGATTTCATTAACGAGATGGGCAAGGCATTCCACAATGTGGAGCAGCAACAGAAAAAGATCTGTCTCCGAAAGATGTCAACATCTCCCCAGGATCGCAGCTGATAGACAGATTGATACCTTACTGAAATTACAGAGTGCAGGGGTAACATGGCTGAACTTATATGAAAAGGTAACGAGTCTAGCTGCAGCGTTCTGGACTCTTTGCAACTTGAAGATCGCAGTGTTTGGAAGTCCGTACAGTAGACTGTTACAATAATCCAATCGGCTTGTAATAAAAGCATGCACCAAAGTTAGAAGACTTTTCTTGTCTAAATACTTCCTCATACGTCGGATATCATATAGATAAAAGAAGGTGGTATTGCGCAACTTTTTAATATGCGTTGACATTGACAAGTTCGGGTAAATGATATGTTAGGGGCAGAAATGAAAAAGTAGGGGGGGGGCTGTTACCAATAAATCCTCGCATCGGAAGATTAAAACACAGCTAGTCTGTTATGTAATGTGCCTATAAACGTATTCGTTTTTGCTTTTTTGACCATATCAATATTACGCAAACACTATCCCTTTAAAAAGCTCTCAACCTCGTAGGAGTCAAAGAAAAAAGAACAGAATTTCTTCGGAATCGTCAACGATGCTTTCCTTTTGCTAAAACAGACTAGCTGTGTTTTAATCTTTCGATGCGAGGATTCATTTCTGCCCCCCAATATATCGTTTACAAAAGTAAGGAGATGGAAATCATAGAAAGATACTAAAAAATCGATTTTTTTTGCAGCCAGCAATTTTGGGGGGAGCTCAAGCAAAGACGGAAGTGGACGTTTTGTATTCTTGGGCGATGGTGTTCTCATTATTTTCGGTCAGATTGTCTCTATAAGAGCAAAGACAGCTTCGAAGCATATTAGAAGGGAAAAGCGCTCAATTCCGGTTGACATACGTTGCGCAAAAACGACTTTGCTTAAGCTTCCTATTATTATCTTAAAGAGAACATCGGTTCCCCGGTTATTAGCCCCCTTTTTTCAGGGGTGACCCAGAGATTAGCCGGTAATTGGAGATAATAGATTCCGTCGTCTAAAAGGGCGACAATTTGGACAGTACTTAGCCTTTTAGTTTAGACAAGGAGAGTTTATTCAAGAACCATAGACTGACATATGAACAGCTAGCTGACTCTGCTAGCAGACCATTGTTGGGGAAAGGCCTAAGCGTAGAATGGCAATAGATTGCCTTGATTTGCTTGATACTACAAGGCGAATATTGTCGTTCCTTTTTCGTTCCTTTCTCGACTCGAATACGGGCCATTTCTTGCGGCTCGGGCTCCCTTAAACGGCTGGAAAGCGACTACCTTGCTCATATACGTCTTATAAAATATTTAAATTTCCAACAAAGAATACGGAAAACAATAACAGCCGCCACTTTTAGTGATAAGAAGTGCTCCTGTGGACTTTCGACCTGGATAATATCAAAAGTAAGCGTCTAGTAGCTCAGACCGAGAACTGCTTGTAATACGTTATAAAATTGTTGACTTGGATTTAAAATCAGATCTATTTACGTATTGTCACTATCACCACGAGGATACTTGAAAGGCTTTTCAGTTGTTTGGCCATGGTTCACCGGCCGTTGCACCTACTGACTATAACATAGGTGCATCTCGGAGGTAGTGCCAGAGAAATCCAGTTAAGGGACACGCCCGTCCTCGATAGAGCTTTATAACAGGCCCTGAATTGTCCTAATTAGTTCGTTGCGCCGTGAAGTGACAACAATCCTGATTTGCAGGTAGCGCTTGAAGACCCAGTTTGAGGTTCTTGTCAGGCTCAATATAACCTTAAAACACCACCTCTCGATAAATCAACGGCATTGATACGTTCACTTAGTAGGCCATCAACACCTTTGACCTCCTAGCTTGACATTTGAAGCTTTGTTTTAGCCACGTATTTATACATTTTCGTAGCTCTGGCATTGTTCTAATAATCGCGCAAAGCCAAAACATGCATTCAACTACCGTTTGATCGTTCAATGCCTGCAAACGCTCTGTTTCTTAACGTCCTTGGCAACACAAGAGAGCTATATTTTAAACTTATGTTGTAAATAATTAATTGGTAAATAATTTCATGATCTGGGTTAGCTAAATATCGTATTCTTACATCAGTAGCGAAGCTTTGATCTCTAGTGCTTTGAGGCAAATGTATTTGACCAATATCTTCAACAGTTCCTCAACTGACGGTAAGTTATCCGACGCCATATAATTCTGATTGATGAGTTTGAAATTTTCTCACTTTCTTTATAGCTTGTAGTGACTATTCCTAATTATCGCTAGATAATTGTTTTTGCAACTCGTAGCAGTTAATTTATATTTTGATCGTCTTTGGTGATTACATTTCCAAAACCTGTCAATAACCGGAGGAAGTTTTGTTTGTAGAGAAAAGTATCGGCCTCCAGTATATGGTGCGAGATTGGACGAATGATTAGTAATCTTACCTATTGAGTATTTGTACCTTGTAAAATTTTGTTTTCGTCTTGTAAAATACATCAACAACGTGGGTCCACAAGGAGAGTCACCAGGTATCACTTATCACAACAAACTATTAAGGCACATGTTTTGGTTTTGCTAGTTACTACCTATTCGTTATGTTCTTAGCAGTTAGCTATTTTCTAGTAGTAGATAAAGTAAAGACTAGGGGAGAGCTAAGATTGCACTGGATATTTGCGTTGTTCGGATGTTTTGGCCATGTCAAGCGTAGTCTAATTAACACTAAACCCCCTCGATATATTAGACAACGTCAAAAACACAATCTAGTTACTCATGTTAAAATGTTTTTGTTTTAACTTTAATTCTTTTAGCCTCGAGGAATTGAAAATGATGCGGAAACGTCCCGTTCTGCTTTTTCTACTTTTAGCAGTCAATTCATTAACAGGTAAGCTACTGGTACCAGTTATTTTGACAACAAAGTTAATGTTGCGTTCAAGGCTGCACAAGCCCTTCTTTTTTGGTTCTATGTAGAGAATACAAAAGAATGAGTGATCTGACAAATAAATTCGCCGGAATTATATCGGTGATACGTTTCTAAACAAATTACTCGGTTGCGACCGAGAGAAGAGAGAGAAGGGAAAAGAGAGAGAGAAAGAGAAAAAATGAACTTGCAATCTCGATTTTTCTTAACCTCGTCGTCGAATGAACATTTTCGTCAAAGCTGAATCTGATTCCACGTTCTATGTGAATAACGTGACGTATATGTGACGTACATCCTACCATAGAATGGGCTGGACTTCCGTATTAAAAACACTGATTCCATCAAAGAGCGATTTTCGTGTGACCTTGAAATGAACACGCACGAACTGAACAGAAACAACAAACGAACGAAAATTGAGTGATCAGATTGGTTTACAAACGGATACAAACGCGCGTGGCTTTTGGTTGGTTAAGCGAACGCTCGGGTGAAAAACTTCATGCCCGAGAACTTTCTAAAAAACAAATCGATTCTTCCTTTGACGTCATACTGCAACACGATTGGCCAATCGAACAATGCCTTCTCCATTTTAGGGTTTTCTTTAGCGGGAAAACGAAGAGTCCATGTTTTGATCTTTTCATCCATTGGCTGATAAAACAAATAACGAACACTTACCGAAACCATTTTTCAAGGTCATACGAAAATCGCTCTATTTGCAGTTACATTCCAAGTATGGCGTAGTTTGAAACCCCAGGCCAGCTGTTTCTGAAAAAGAAAAATTGATTATCAACCTGAGAAGAAACCAGACTCGTGATAGCAGTGATGGTATTTGTAAGCATGATACGTTTAGTCACACTATATTAGTAAAAAAAATTCCCCGCGTCTCGCTGCAATAGTGGAAGGGAAATGCCCTTATCTGAGATGATCACAGTATAAATTCCGTTTGAGATTGCCCCCTAATTTTTCTTTTTTAACACTTATCGGTCACGATCTAACAGTGAGAATTAAAGGTTTCAAAGAAGGTTTAAAGGCTTGTTTATAGTGGAAAAAGTATTTAGCTTATTCAGCTAGCTTAAAGGCATTCCACTCAAATACTTAGAAACAAATAATTAAAACACAATATAACAACTGGCAGGAGGCAACCAAATAGTTATTTACAAGAATTGTTTCCAAACCTCTTCCTATATAGGAAGATTTTGGGACGCGAACCTCCTGGAAAACAATTATTAATCTGTGTATCCATGCAATTGTTACATACGTTTTTTATTTATTTCTTTTTGTTCTCCAGAGGTTTCACACAGCAAATCTTTGAAAGGTATTTAACAAAACAATGAAAACTATAGTGTGTGTTGTTTTAAAATGCAATAATATGTTTAACCTCGACCCCCCTTTTATATTCCTTTTACCTTTTTCAATTTTCCCACAGGTTGTATTAACTCAGTTCGCAGCTCGACCTCTAAACCTAATAAAAACTCGCATGATCCTGATGATGAGGTCTTGACGTCCTTGAAAAGGTCGTCTCTTAAAGAAGGATGTGAAGATGACGAGGAAAATAGACCTCAAGTGACCAGAGAAAAAAACAAAATTAAAAGGCTTCAGACAAGTATTCACAAAAACTTAATAAAACTGTTTCATAAGCTAAAAAGTGCCAAACCCGGAAGCGTAATGCCTGATCGCAAGGAATTTACTAACTTCGCAGAACCGGCAAACCAAAATGGCAAATCTGGCAATGCAGTATCAACAGGCATTCCATTGAGTAAAGTCAGAGACGGAATCAATAACATCACTCAGTTTCAAGACATGAACAATACATCGACGCTCAAAGCTCTTGACAAATTGGTGGGTGCAGTTCTTCCTAACATGTCGTCGTTGCTAAACAACAGTAATCCTCAACGAGCTGATGATGCTGATGGCGGAAGTGGCTCTGGGACAGAACCCAATGAGCTACAGAAAAATAAATCAGATCCTTACGCTGCCATCGCTGCAGGACCGGACCACCCTAAGCTTCCACCAGACCTGAAGATTACTCCTGGTGGTGGATCGGACGGAGAAGCTCCACCCGTGGTACCTGTCGGGATGTCTGATGATAGTAAGACCGGTGGAACAAACGATGAAGGACATGGTCCTACTCCAGAAGGTAACCACGAATATTCGTCTAACTTTGACTTCACATTCACTCTGTACTGCAGAATTCGTTTATGTGTTTTAAGTTTGGCCTTCTATCCCTACTGTCGGAATTTTAGCTGCCGTTGCGATGCCACGCAATTTGTGTTTGAAGTGGATTCTGCCTACTAGACGCAGACCCATTTAATGACATTCCCTACTTTAAAAACTGGATCGTCTCAGTCATGTAATCTATGTATGCCTTTCTAAAAGAAAATATCCTAAAATCACAAAATATAAATGTGATTTCGGCTTTTCTGCTCTTTCGAGCAGGGTAAATAGAATTTGTCAATATTCTTTGGAGGGTTATTACGGTTAACCGATTTAGTGCTTTTTAAAAATGCTTGCTATGCACTTGTTGATCCCAGCTTGGTCTTTTTTCTAGAACCCAGTGAAGCCCCAAGCCAGAATGAAGGTAACCGAACTTTTGATAGCTTTTAAAAAAAAGGCAACTGAACATTCAATAAATGAAAAAGACAATTTGATGATAAAATTTCCTTTCTAAATTGCTCTTTTAGATAAAGACAACTCCGAAGAACCAGACAATCCTATGGTGAAGCAAATGCAAGCCCAAGCTATGCAAGTAATACAGGAGCAGATGCAAAACCAGTTCAAGGCCGCCATGCAAGCTGCTAAAGGAATGCCGGGTATGTCGGGTGGCATGGGTGGAATGGCAATGATGGGAGGAATGGGAGGAATGCAAAGTATGAACGGTGGAATGGGTGGTGGAATGGGTGGTGGAATGGGTGGTGGAATGGATGGTGGAATGGATAGCATGGGTGGAATGGGAGGAATGGGTGGAGGAATGGATATGGGAGGAATGAACGACATGGGGGGTATGGGAGGAATGGCAGGATTCGGAGGAATGGGAGACATGGGAATGGCAGGAATGTACGGCAATCGTATGGCAGAAATGGCTGGAATGGGAGATTTTGCTGGCAATGCTTATCAGAGAGACTCACTGAGGGGCAGTAGGGAGTCTTTCGGTGAAGGAAACCCTTTCTACCCAAGAGGTCTTGCTGGAGGATTCAGAGCACCCATGGGACCAATGTACCCAATGGTAGACGAATCCGCCGTTGGGAGAGATAAAGTTCCTCTCGGGTACGAGGGGCGGGAACTGATGCCTTACGTCCGTCCTTTCCGGAGACATCGTTATTTTAGTGACGATGATGACCTCGACGACGATGTTAATGATGATGATGATGAGGAGGACGAACCATATTTTGTTCCAGCACGAGAACGTGCTGCGTTTGACGAGCCATTAGACGAAGGGGCTGAAAACGAAATGGATGACGGGTATGATGCACCTTATGAAAGGAAGACGAAAATAGAAAAAGTTGAAAAACCTAAAAAGAAAAGTAAGGTGAAGCACACCAGCCACAAGAGAAGCAAGGCAGTTAAAGGACACGCGAAGCAGTCCAAAAAACACTTCACACAGAAGCGAGGAAAGACTGCAGGTAAACAACGCAAAAAGAAGGAATGAGACCCGTAGATCGTGCATGAAACTCTCTTCTTCCTCGAGCAAGAAAGATAATAGGCACAGAGAAATTGCATGCTTGTGAAATTGTCATGGAAGAAGTGTCTTCGATGAAAACTGGGACTGCCTTTAGAAGCAATAATTTGAGTCAGCTAGATATTAGATATCTCTATTTACTTTTATGACTCAACGCAGAACTGTTTTTCAGAACGAAAAAAATTATTGTCAACACGATTCAGTATTTCGTATTCCTTCAGGGAGATTTGTTAATCAGTAATTGCTTCCTTCAGCAAAGGAATATACAACATTTTAGTCATTTTTAATAAAATACCTTTGATAAGAAATCATTGTTTTGTTGAACCTTTTACTCGGAAAAAGAAGAATATCTGATTCTTCAGCTTACTTATTTGGTATGTAGAAGTATCATTGATCGTGATTTTACGCCTGCATCAGAAGTCACAAACAAGGAGAAGCAAAAGTAATTGGCTTATATTTTTTCCGTTAGAGATCTCTTGCAGATTGACATAGCGTTCATTCACGGACGTTAAAATAAAAGTGTTTGGCAAAATTTGTTGTAATCTTACATCATTGTAATCTCGTAGGTGTGAGTACTGATGCAGTAACCCCGGAGATGTTTTACAATTCAGCGATGAAACAAATGCAGCAACAGGCGATGTCGGCTATTGAAAAACAGATGCAAAACCAATTTGCCAGTGCTTGGAAAGGTGCTAATGGAATGGGAGCAAAGATGAATATGGGAGGTGGAAACATGGGCGGCGGAATGGCAGGGATGATGGGTGGTATGGCAGGAATGAATGGAATGGCAGGAATGGGAATGGGGATGGGAGGGATGAATCAAATGCAAGGTATGCTAGGAAAGGGAGGAGGTGGAGGAAGAATGAATCAAATGCAGGATCAACCACAAGGAATGGGCCCCATGCCCGATATGCCAGGAGGCCAAGAAGGGTTTGGCCCCATTAAAATGCCAGGAGGTTTTGGTCCCATGAATGATATGCCAGGGGGACTAGAAGGAATGGGCCAGATGAATAATATGCTAGGAGGGCCAGGGGGAGCGGGGCCGATGAATGATATGCCGCAAGGACTCGGAGGAATGGGATCTATGCAGGGTATGCCTGGCGGGCCACAAGGTAATGGACCGATGCAAGATTTTCCTGAATATGGAGGAATGGGTGGATTTGGAGGAGGTAATGGCATGGATGTTCAGGATCCGAGCATGCAGACAAGCATGGGTAATGGCTTATTTAAAAGAGTGTTGAAGAACAAGGCTAACAGAAAAGACAGTCACAAGAAAACTAAAATAACTAAGGGTAGGAAAGGTTCTCACAAGATGAAGCACCACAATTAGCTTTTTCTAGTTCTGCGGGTACGTGTTAAAGTGATTTTCGAGTTTTAAAAGGGCTTGATAATATTATTGAATATTATGTAAATTCAATCATTGTGCAGCAAAGCGCATAGACATTAATTTGCTGACGTTAACCACACATTTTGTAAAAGTCTGCGCTTTGATTATTCCCAGAACAGTATGAAAACCATTACAGACTTGCCTCAAAATTGTTTTTTTTTCATTCACAATAACCACTGATGCCGGGCCTCTCCTCACTCCAACTGATTGCTTACAAAAAATGGGACAGGGTGGTAGAAAAAAACATGGAGGGTTTTCTGATGAACATTAAAATATTATTTGTAATGATAGAAGTAATAACTTTTTTGAAATCTAGAACATTTTTCGAGTTTAACAAATTAATTTTTAAATTCTCATATGGCAGAAAATTGGAGGTTTCTCGGGCTAGTCAATTATGCCTTCATTTTGAGCTGGCGTGAAGTGCTGGCTCTGAAGATAATTGAAAATGATTATGAATTGTTTCAAGGATTCTTGTGCAAATCGTCATTAAAAGTGTTAATTCAAAATTTGATTTGAAGGCAACAAGTGCGTCAAAAAAACCCCAGGCTTTTTAGCCCTGGGCCTGACCATTATTAAGTTTGTAATTAAAGGGATTGGCCACAACAAGAATTTATTGACAGCAATATATCCGTTGCCTTCAGATTTCATTTTGTTTATGACAATGTTATTATCAATAGTCCCTTCTCCGTTAGACGGAAAATGCAGAGATCGACAATGAGTGGCCCTCTTGGACATGTGCGCGCCAGTGAAACTTTAGGTGTTTATTTAGGGACGTGTCCGTCTTTTAGAAAGTTGACTCTGCATAGTATATTTTTATTCCTGTACTGACAAATATAGAAACGTTCAGTTAAAGAACGAATAATTATAACAGAAAACTGGAACAGATGTTATGAAAAATAAAGTACTTTATGTGTAGATTTGTAATCGGCATCGAATTTTTGGGTTATTTTGGTTCTATAGTATGTGATAGAATGGTTTATCAGTACAAGGACCATGACATTTTGATACTCCCGTTAAAGAAGGCAGATTGCTTTCTTTACAAAGTCGATACAAAGAGTCATTCAACAAAGGATTCCAGATCAAATTTCACCACCATAGGATACCTGGTCTGGGATTCAAAGTCTTGGCGCTCATCCCTCCATGGCCCTTTGCACTGGTTTATTAAAAAACAGGAGTAATGAACTTTTTACCGCCTCTAACTCTAATACACCCCCTCTCTCCAAGTCGCGACATCTTTTAGCTGAAAAGTTGCCTTTCTCAACGAACAAGGGTGACCGCTTAATACAGGTTTGACTAAATAATACCCGAGTTTAACTCCTTGATCACACTTGCAAATAGCCAAGAGACTAACCTTGTGCTGTTCTTTTTTCTCTTTATTCGCTCAGCCCCCATAAGCTCTGGTCAATGGCTGCTGCCAAAGGAAAGTTACCTGAACGCTCACTGTGAAATGTGAATTAAGTCTTCAATTCTCGAAAATTTGTTTATTTAAAATGATAAAACAAGGAAATAGAAAAGTAATGTCTTTAATACTTCCATAAAAAATTCCACATCGAAGGAGACTGGTTTCCAAACTCAGCGGTAATTTTCTTTAGTGTTGGAGATTCAGGTTGACTTCCCCCTGTCGTGTTTATTAAAAGGCTACCATACGCCTATTTTTTTGAGCATTGGTATCTGTCTTATTTCAGAGAAAGGTACTTTTATTAGAATTCCAACTATTGGCTAATATAGCAATCTAGCTTGCGGCCCTACAGGAGTGGTCACGCAGCAAACATTAAAATCATTGCATTGGTAGCTTGTTGTACTCCTTTTATATTAGCAGTTAGGACAAAGGCAGGGCTGGGGACCGGGCGTGGTTAAATGGCTAATTTCTACCACACTTGTAAGAAGCTGGTCCACTCTAACGCCTGTTTGTTAATTTAGACTTTAAGACAATCTGAGAACCACAGAAATGACATACATTGTTTACAGACCCTCTGTGTTGTAGGTAGCCTCCCATGCAGACGTTCTTAGGGGTTCGTCACGCGGTCCTGCCCCCAGGAACGCTTGACTAACCCCTGACGAACCCCTAAGAACGTCTGTGTGGGAAGCTATGTTGTAGGGTCTCTTTCCCTAAAAACAGACAGCTATGTAAAACTGAAATTATCCTTTGATCTTTAAGATAGGAATGGGTCCAGCGGCATTCACCATTTGATTTACGGCTCTGATAAGTTCGTCCTTCTGCTCCTTAAGACTCTTTTTCCCTGACTGTCCTGCCAGTAACCTTGCTACACGATCCTCATGCTTCATGTACTCGTCTTTTCTAGTGAACATCCCGCATATAATTTTGTCATAAATCGATTTGTCTTTTGTCCATTCATCTCTCATTTTTATTTTACCAGAACATAAACGGTGTAGCCTTGTTGTCCTCTTTTCCCCATGTATAGCCTTCGCTGTTTTTGCTGTAGATAGAGACAATAACGCGTAGTAAGTGATCTAAGGAATCTTGCTGGGTTTTACTTTGGAGAAATTATAAACACGATAACACTGAGAGGTTTCGAGGCCTCATGCACCTACTGGCGCCGCCGCGATGAGACTTGATAATGACTTAGAGGTTTCGGCAACAATAAGTACAGTTGGTAGGAAGCTTTCCAGCTATGCCTGAGGTTGTAGATTTAATTTCAGTCAGACCCACCAACGAGGGTCTTGACGACCGTCAGTAAAACCTTGGGCACTTACCATTTCATGATGGGAAGACCGGAAATTCCAGTTAAAAAATAAAATGGTACGCGTCATTCCGTTTGGGAAGCTTCTGACATTATAGGCTGTCGTTTCAGGCGATGGAATTTAAAAACTCTTTTTAACCTGTTCAAATAATTTGGATATACTTTGTAGCGGGTCGTTTTACCACCAAGTAAAATTCAATAGCTCCACGCGCGGAGCCCCATAACTAAGGAAATGTAGTAATCTACCAATCCGAGAAAATTTGGTAATCACGTGACCGTGCACCGACCGACCGACCGCCCGACCGTCAGTCCGCACCACAGGCATACCAATGTAAAATAACTCAATCAACAGGTATGGCAACCCAAATGCAACTAGAGGTTTTATTTGGACGGAAATAGACCTATTCGGCTAACTCAATGTTGTACCCAATTCAAACCCTTTGGGAATAAAACGTTTTGTTTCAGGAATTTCCATATCATTTAAATGTGAATGCCACATTATAATGCAAATACAGCACACAAAGAATCTTATCCCCGGGAGATTTGAATTGGGTACAACATTGGGTAAACCGAATAGGTCTAACACATGGCCGCCAGGACTTTTAGAAAGAAACAACAACAAGAAAGTCGTGTCTTTTTCGGCATTATTTTTTATGTTTACACTAACGTGGATAACAGAGAAAGAGCTGGAGCGAGTTATTGAAAAGAAAGGAGACGAATTTCGTAGGAAGAAACACATGGAAATTCAAAGCGGCGGTGAGAAAATGAGAAATGCTAGCGGCCAGCAAGGTGAAAATGAGCGGCAGGGAAAAGTAACAGCGAACATGAACACAGGAAACAAAATATTGGGTAAGCACATACGACAATTCCTCCATAAAAATAATGTGTAACTAGGAAGTTTGACGTTTTAGTCTGCAAAACAGCGATGTATTCGTGCAAAACAACGGCAATAGAAAGACAAAAAAAGCGTGCTGCACGTGCAAATTTGGTTTTTACTAATTAGAAGAAAAAGTGCGCTGCACGTGCAATTTGTTTTTTTTTTCTAATTAGATCTATTAATCTTGAAGCCATTTTCATTGCTGTCCCCGTTTAGCATTACACGATTTAATTTTTTTGTTTACACGTATTATTAACCAGAGCTTCGCTTTTAGCCCTGGCTAAATCTATACATTCGATGTATATGTTTATGCACAAGATTTCCAACATGGGTGGATTGCGTAAATGGTAAGCACTCCTTGTTTCGGTTAAGATACTCAAGACATTGTGCACTAACTTATCTTTTTTACGCCTGGTGGGCCTTACCATGATACTTACTCTTGAAAAGAGTAGAGGATGGTCATGGTCTTTCTGTTTAATTTTGCTTTTAGATTTGGTTGAGCGGAATAAAGACCGAGGAAGTAGCTTAGTGAAAAAACGTTAGCTAATTCCCCAACAATGAAAGTGACTAATAAAAGTATGCACTTACGATTTCCCTTCGGGTCTCCTAAAAGATGTTTAAGCATTGCTGTAAGGAAACGAAAAGAGGTTAAACAACTGTATTTTACAGTCAAATCAGTTTTTTTATCTCTTAACAAATAATCTTAAGCAATAACCGTATGACGATGGTCGATTATCAGATTCAACTTGAAATGGGAGATGATGATCACAGACCGTAGTACGTCTGATAACGCCTTACACGATTAACATAATTCTTTCAATCAAACTCACCGTCATCTAATAATTTTCATTATTGATTCAAATCATTTTTAGCTCACAATATCATGCTTACCTCGATCCATGTACTGAAGTTCCAGTCTGTAAATCATTCACCCTCCCTCGGTAGTATTAGGACGAGAAGGCAGGTTAAGACGTATTTTATGTTTTTCAGAGAATACTTCAGATAATTCTTCTTCGCATAACGTCAAATCTTGCCCCTTTTTCTACACTTATTTTTAGTCGATACTGTTATGATTCAATTGAATTGTAATGTTAACAGCTAACACCTTTCAAATTTGGTCAACCATTACTGGATATGAAGAATTAGCCTGTCGATTGAGATTAGTGAACTTAAGCAAAGACGTTTTTGAGCCACGCACGTCAGCCGGAAGTGGATTTTTTCATTCTTGAGCGGTATTTTTGCCCAGATTTTTGGGCAAATTGTCTCTATAATAAAGAAAGAGACTAAGAAATACAAATTGGGTATTGTCAATTTATTTTAAAATGAAAAAGATCTCACTTCCGGTTGAAATGCGTCGTCAAAAAACGGAGAAATGTTCTGAATGAACAGTAAAAGAAATTTATCGATTTCACAACAAAACTTCACTCACCATACTCCAATGGACTCCGTCTGTCAATTCTGATCGCGCGCTTCCGTACTCTTTCATTGGAACCTAATTAATCAAGTGAAAAAACAAAATTGTGAAAGAATTAAAAATTAGCTGAACTTTCTAATGTCCAATTGCCCATTAATAAATGAGCCTCTTCAAAACGTGTACTCTACTGACTGATATCAGGTTTTTACGACTGATTTCATTCCAGTTGGCATTCCTACTTTTGATTCGGTTGGTATCATAATAAACTAGGCCCGTAAACCAAGAAGGTAAGAAAAATTAATCGTTCTGTACCCTCTATGGCTTTAACTGACTGAGGAGAAAGAAGTGGTTGTGTGCAACCTTTTCCCCAGTGTCAATTCAACCGTTCGTAAAAGAACTAAAGCTAAAAGACCAGCAACTACTTTGTGCTTGAAATATAGGGTGAACGGCTCCTGTTTGCTATATTTTGAAATAACGAGATATTCGGTTAACAGATGGACAGTAAAATCCCCGACTCGCCGACATCCTTTTTCAAAAACCCGACTCTTCAAGACCCCGAGCTAGGAAGAAGTGCACAAAAACGAGAACTCTCAACATCAGATTCTCCTAGAGCCCTGATTTTCTAGGTGCCATTCACCTAAAAAGCGACCATGCCAGGAATTTTCGAAAAAAAAAACATATCATTTCAAAATAACAATTTTAGTCAACAACATGGAATAAATGGAAATTAATACCTGTCAAAAACTGTCAAGGGAAATTTTCAAACACAGGAAAGTCAACGAAGCGGAGAAAACTAATTTAACTTACACTCAGCAATCACGACTTCCAGACCGATAATCACTACCGTAACAAGAATCAGCCTCATTGTAAGTAGCACATCATGCGTTGCTTGATTTCGTACTCCAATCTGAAGCGAGTCACTTGTGTCAACTAAGCACCGAGACTATAGGAAAAGAAGATAGGCTTGTTTAAATTTTTACATCAGTCTTATTGTCGTCAAGCGTGGCTGTATGAAACCTAAAGGGACTGCGAGGTCAGCTCGAGTCATCCCCACGGGTGAGCCACTGAATCACAACATCGCGGAATAGAGACGTGGTTTCTTACTTACGGGAAAGAAACATTTACATGTTTGCTTACAGTGCGCCAGCGAGAAATGAAGTAAAGGCAACGTCCAGGCTACCTAGCATATCATGATTGTACCTTTAGTATTGAGCTATAGAAGAACTGAAATCAAATACTCCATGGCACCTGTTATGGGAAAGTAGTTTTCGTCAACTACACCAATAAAAGGCGAATATTTTTACTTACGCGATCGGATTGTCTTCGCCAAAATAAGAATAATTCGCGTTCAACTCGAAGTTACCACTCTCAAATTCAGCGATTTCTTTACAGACAGCCAGCCTACCATGAACCCTCCTGTATGACGTAATGTTTTGCCACCCTCACAAGCCACTTGTCGGCTTCCTTACTGGCTACAGGTCGCCTCCGTTCTTAATCTGTGGCAAAACATTATGAGAGAGACTTTCTCTGCTCGAGTGAACTTAACAAAAATAGGATTTTTTTAACTGGCCGTGATAAGAAGGAGGCGTGTCCTAATTTTGCCGTATTATAAAAATTCTTTTGCCTAATAACTGTCCATTCAAAAGAGGTAAATTAAAGGTCAATTCAACCTGTTAGTGTCATTAAAAAAGCACCAAAACAGCAACTCACTTGACCTGGCTGTGATGAGGAGGAGGTGTGTCCTAATTTTGCCGCATCATTAACATTCTTTTGCCTAATAACTGTGTGTCTATTCAAAACAGGTATAATTAAACGTCAATTCAACCTGTTAGTGTCATAAAAAAGAACCAAAACAGCAACTCACCTGACCTGAACTGATCTTATTTTCAAACTTTTGACCACTTAGCCTCTTAATAGTCAATTGCTCAACTAAAGGAAGCTACATTTCGAGTATGTTGGAGAATCCTTTGACGCACCCATACAAATTGAGCCTATATACCAAGAAGGGGGCTGGGGGTCTTCCCTGTGCTGAACTGTTTATTATAATGTTCAATGTGGTTCCTTTTGTGCAGCCATTCAATTGAAGCACGTTTGCGATTTTCATTATTTTTACAGTATGATCTAGCGTTTTTTTTTTAATTGTCGGTCGTTAAAGGTTTAACCGTTCCTTAGTTACCATCTCACAACACCTAATGCAAAACTAAGATTCGGACAAGTTTTATACATGTTTTAACTTTCACTGGGCCCAATTATTCTTTTCGTATCAAAAACCTACTCACTTGCAGGAAACACCGTTTTTTTTTTCAAGCTCTAAGGTACGTATACTATCAAATTGTTTTGCCCATTCTGTATGCATTTACAGTGCGAAGTAAAATTTTAATCTGTTCGAGCAAGAACACCTACAAAACCATGTTTATTATTTTCGTCCAAAACAAGCATTTTTACCCCGCATTTATTACTCATCGATCAAATTAATGTCACTTATGTCAACATATCCTTGTATGGTTACTGTATGTTAAGAAAACTCTAAATAGAGCGCCAAGTTTGAGATTTGAGACATAAAAAAAATGCGGGCGCTGTGATTGGACAAATACGCGCATGTGAACGTTAAGCTCTTGCTTGCACGTAGACGAACTCGACCATTGCCGTATGGCGGAGTTTCTTGAGGGATTTTTGCTAATATTGCTGATAGACGTCACTTTTAGAGACGATGTTATTGATAACTCGTAGAAAGGGTATAAACAACAATATATGAAATCCACAAAATTGTCTGACAATAACAGTAGAGTAAATCATAAGCCAGGGGGTATGCACCGCCAAAGCCTTCTCAGATGACGTCGAGATGTAATCAGAGCAAAAACATTGCTAGCAATCAGGTCTCAGGCTCTAACGGCTCTTTTAGCGCTTCTGTAATCTATAACCGGACAGAAATATCACAAATCTCGTTGCGAATGCGTCTCAAAGGTCCCACCCGGACCTCGCCTATTTTGTACAAAACAGACAACAAAACTCAGCAGTGTTGCCTGTACGTCCGGTTCTCTAATGGACCAGATAAGAGATGGTTGCAGCCACATTGAGCCCTTTACAACCACTCATCCACGTGGTACGAAACGTAACCACTATGCTGGAGAGCAATAGACGCACTGGGAGAGGACAAACAAAGGAAATTACCACTTTAAACGATGTGATCTGTTTGCTTCTCTTGTCCTAGTGCTTCTCTAACCAGTCGTTTCGCCGATGTCTTGTTCGCCTACGTCGTGATGTCAGCAAAACGAGTTATAGCGCGTTAGCGCAACGACTTATAACACGTAAGTGAAACGACTTACAACACGTAAGGGAAACGACCTAACACGCATGCGAAACGACTCACGACGTAGGCGAAACGACCGTTAACCTGGCAGGTAGCTGGATAGGAGAAGTGTGACGATCATTATCACCGCCCGACAGGATCGTGGATAACTTGTTCCGTCAAACCATAAATAATTTTTTTGTGGGACCATGAAGAAAAAATGGTTCACTTCGACTACCGGTTCTTGGTTCTAAACAAGGTATCTCGAATCTTGCATTGCACGTAAACAACCACCAAATCCCATGTCCCATTCAGTTTCATTTTACCAGTCTCGCTCCCCCTTCCCTCAAAAATCCCGAATCCCGACCCCGAAATAGGCTAAATCCCGGATCCCTACTGGGCGCCCTTAGAATGCTAATAAAAATGAAATAATTTCTACAATAATAACAAACAACAGTCATTTTCAGAAGTGTTTTATGCAAGCGTATTGCATACAATTCTTCAGTTCTGACCACCGTATGCACAGTACGAAATACTCCCCCTACCTCTAAAAACCAATATTCCCTTCATGTACACGATACTGAATGTCTCAATCATATGGACGAGTTTATGTGCAAGAATGGTCAAGTCTTTGAATTTAGCAGGTAAAACCCACGAGACAATGAACACATTCTAAGCGTTTCTGAAGCATAAAAACGGAAATTAACCTCCACAATTAAACCAATTTCCTTCATTGACACATTATCTTCTGTGGCTTTCATTGTGTAGTTGTGATTCTGTTTATCGTTTCGCCAGCGTTAGAATCAGAATGGATATTTTTGTCCCAAGATTCTTCGTAGCGTGTTGGTAAATATTTAATCTGGGTTAATTCAAAGGACTTTCTCTGTGTCTATGACGTCATTTATCGGAAGTGATCACATAGGACAAGTTTGCCAAGTTCCTTTTCTTCCTTATTTGATGTTTTTAAAGGTAAGTCTTTCTTCTAGTGATGGTATGGCTACACAAAGCTTTGTCTATGGCAAGACGATATTTTGGCGGCGAAGAAAGGTTTTATTTATAAACAATGAATAGTTATTACAAACAAAGTAAGATAGACCTGTTCCTATTATCAACCTGCAACGATGGCGCGCGAAAAAGATGAAGCGATTCTTTGCCCAGTGAGAAATGTCTTCCATTGACATCTACGGAAGCTTTGAGGATATCTGTTTCGTGAAACGTTAATATTCTCGACATAAACAGCCCAAATGTCTTTTGTTAACGTTTAACCTTGGTGATAAATTTCTATCATTTGGTCAACAGGTACAAATTTACGATAAATAAACAATAACCGCGAACAAGAAAAGCCCGTGTGATGAACATACGACTTCTTTTCACGTGCCTGACATTATGTTTGTCGCATTCAGGTGAGTTAAAAGTGATATTTTTACTTATAATGATAAACGTCGCCATACACTAGTGGTAGTATAGCACAAAGTGACTCGATCATTAGTCCCACTCAGTATATTCTTCTGGTCAAAACAAGCGAATTGTCTCGTTTGATCGGAGATGTCTTGTAGCTTGTGTGGAAATACAGAATATTGAAAAAGCGCGCTTTACTAATAGTTCACCCAACTGGAGAGTGTTTCTCAAGTATGGTACAAATTAAGCCAAATTCTAGCTCAAAGGTTCTTTATTATTTTCTAGGATTTTACTGTAATAGATGTTTTTAAGGATCTGAGGTCTACGAGTGAGTCACTTTAAAATGCTCCTATACGATATTAGTTGTTAAGCATCATTAATAAGTACTATTTTGGCGTGAATGGGCAAAGCTACTCTAGATGTCTGGAAGTGAGTAAAGACATCCTTATTGCATGAGGCTTGTTAAGAGTGCAATTGCATAAAACCTTACATCAGATGTATTTAAAAACGTTTTGTTCTAAAATAAATAGTTTGACTGGTCCGAGCGTCAGATTCAGAGCCGTTGTGTCCGGCGCTACTTTTTATGCAGCTGAGCCTAACTGACTCGGAAACAGTGTAACAGGTGTTTCCTTCAGATTCGGCGCATGTGTGATTTAACGTATGAATTGGGGCCAATCGCAACCCGCAAAATGTGCCGAGGAGAGCAAAGAAATGTACCAAAAAATTGGGTTGTGTGTGCAAAGCTGTTCAGTGTTTCAATTAATAAACCTATTGTTTTCAAACCTATTTATTGCTGTCGCTATCATACGAGTTATTTGGTTCTTCAGTACCTATTAGGTCGAGGAGGTCACTAACAGGGATCGTACAAACACACCCACAATCTTTAGTCTGTGAGCGAAAGACTATCAAAAAATGGTCGGGATCTTTCGGCGTGATGCATGGTTTGCGATAGAAACGCCGAAAAGACTGAACAATTCTGTGGATTATTGCTGGGAAATGTTTTGTCGATTGTCAAATTAATCGTAGTACTGTGTGTTCGTTCAATTACATTTAGGGACCACGTTTCATAATATGTTAAATTTATCCAACAGCATCTTATTCTTTCCTTTTAAATCATTGATGTTGCCTCTAGTGTTCTCAGCTCCACTTGAAACTACAGAAAAACCTGGATCAGAACAAGGTAAATCCTATGTTTCTTTAGAATGTTAGTCTTCTGTTTGTACAAATACAGTCTACAAGTAACTTAACTCACTGCTGCTGTCTATAAAAAACCACTTTATAAGATGAGCTTGCTATTTTGGCTTTGTCTTTGGACTATTATAAGCAGTCAGTCTATAACATGCTAATACATGCAAGGATTAAAATGTAAGCTGTGAATTGGTCTAAGGGTCGCAAATGGGATGAAAATATGTCCGTTTTTTATTCTCAGTGCACAGAGAGGATTCAAAGTCGGTTAATCTGGAAAATAAAGGTATGTAACGTTGCGTTGGTGAGATGGGCAGGGAGTGCGTGATGCCAGCATAAAAATAAGTGTGCATTAATGCTTAAAGTAAAGTGGGTCTTTTAAAGGATCGAATGAGTGGTAAAATGCGTTAATGAATCTGAAAGCTTAATTCAATGTTATAGTGATTATTTGCTCATGAGTGACTAGATGAATCAGATACGTCCTCTTTTGTGCATGCCTAATAGTGCTTTGCTAATGCTGTTTCTTTGAGATAGGACGTAGCATTGCTAAAAAACATTATATTAGAGTGGCGATGACGCTTAATGACAATAGACCATTTTACAGTTGTGTGCTCAGTGCCCTGGCCTTTGAATGGAAGCGAGGCTGGCCGTGACCTTGTTTTGTTACAAACCTTCCATTTTTTATGTGCAAATCGTGGTATTCTCATGCTAGCAAGCCCGTGAACATGATCATTTACATATGAAAAACACTGAAAGTCTGCAACAAAACAAGGTCACCACCAGCCTCGCTTTCATTCAAAGGCCAGGGCTCTGCGCACACAACTGTAAAATGGCCTATTACGAAAACAATGGACACAATACGGGGCACATACGTTACCTCGGGATATGACATATACTCCGCTTGAATCATTTCGTCGTTTTCCAATAAAATAGTTGAGACACTAAATTGATCTTTTCCTACAACGAATACAAGTTTTTAAAGAAGGGATAAGGCTAGGGTGGTGAAAGAAATCTCGTACCCAGATCTCTTGTTCACGAAACCGAAAGCAAAGACTTCGTCAGCAAGAAATCTCGGTATGAGATTTTATGGTTAATGTCCATGCCAAGTCCGACTCTCCAGAAATCTGTTTGACTACAATACTCTAGTGTCGTCTTGCTCTACGAAAATCGTCTATTGCCGATATTTGTATTAAAAAAATTTGGAATAAGAATACGCAAGCCCGGATGTACGCTTGACTTGTGTTTAGCAGGAGCATCTTGACTTCGGTCTCTCAGTGTCTCAACTGTTTTGTCGCCGATTTTGCATTTGTAGTAAGAGAGGCTGTACAGAAAGCTGAATTAGACGCCAGTTTAGCTGCTGAAGATGCAGTGCGGCACGGACATAAGGCCGAAGAAAGAGTTAAGAGTAACAAAGGGGCATCAGAACCGAGTGAGGGAAGCAACGATCACGTGACTGACAGTGACAAGCCCACTCTACACATCAGGACGCATGCGTCAATAGGCACGATTTGTTATATTGTACTCATTAACTGGATTAACAAATCTAACACATAACTTAAGCATGTTGAGTATAGATATAAGACTCTAAGTAATGACTACAGAACAGAATAGATGTAATCCTAGTGACATAGCTCCTTTAACCTTGGCTAGTCAGCATGTCCATGAGTTTTACAGTCACAATCATTTAGATGAGAACATTAGTTATCATAAAACTTAAATGTCACATGTAGAATTTATAGAGTGGACGTGATTTTAACGTGAGCCCTTTCTTCTCCAGGGAATGATGAGGAGGAAGGCTCTCACATAAAGAGAGTGAAAGAACACAAAGTGAATCGAAAGCCTGGGTTTAGTGACTTCGGAGGGAACAATAATGACTACAAAGAGGATACCAAGCTTGAAGATCGCCTGGCCATGGAGGCAGAGGAGGAGAAGAAATACGAGACAGGAGAAGGGTATGGCCCTGGTGGCGGAGGCGGAGGAGGAGCTGGCTGGGAAGATGGAGCAAAGGGCGTCAACTGGGCCACAAATATACAGAGACAAGATGCTGCAGAGGTAACGGATGTCTTCAAAATCCGTGTCACGATTTATTGGTCTTGCTTAAAAACTCTAAAACACTTTGAAATCAAAGAAAACCTACTAAAACAGTTTTGTTTAAAATTACTTTTGTATTCTCCCTAAAATATAACTTTACATCTTTGACTCTCGATTACTACGACTGAATGGATTCCAGGTTTTCCAAATTACCTCGACTTGTGCGTGTCAAACAAAATGACCAAAACTGATACTTCTTTGCTTTCCATTTGAGAGCTTATTAGCTCTGTTTTAGAGATTCCTAGGGTAGAAAAAGACTTTGAATATACTTAGTTTAATTTCAGCTCATTTTCACCCGAAATATGGAACTCGCAGCGTGAAATAGCTCTTTCATAAAAATGATAAGAATTATTTCAGACAAAGGATGCTTGCAATGTTCGCTGCAATGATTTCTCCTTCTTAAACCTGCAGAAGCAGAGCATTCAAGCCCAGGTCGCCTCTGAAAGTGCTCATGAATTAGATGAAATCCAACGTGCAATCGCAGCTGAGTCACAGTCATCTCGCGGTTCTGCTTCGATTGGCAATGAAGGAGCTTCAGTCGTCGGTGGAGCGCCATCCACGGTAATTCTCCTTTGCTCTCCTCCTAGTTCGGAATTTAAAATTGTCAGTATTTTAACAAATAAATTTAAAATTATTCTGAAATTTTCAGGAGCAGACAGGAATGCAACCAAGAATCACAAATCCCGAAGGAGGTGGAAGAGGAATGTCATTCCTTGGAGGACAGCAAAAAGGAATTAGTCCAGCAGAGAACCAAGGTGTGAAAAATGTCTAATAACATCTTTATTACAAGGACGACCTGTTAGATGAAGTCGATGCTTAAAGAGTATGGATCGGAAGCAGCAAAACAAAATTCTAACGAAAAAAACCCTGGAGTTCTTTTGCCATTGATGATTTGAGCCACTTTTAGTCAGAGAAGCCTAATATGTAATATTTATTCCCCCCAGGAAATAATAGTTTCCAAAGTTGTCGGAAATTTTTAGCCAATTTTAAACTCGAAATCAAATTACGTAACCTTTTTTTAAAATTATTAGACGGTTCACAGTCCCCAACTTTTCCTTAAGATCGTCGAGATCGAGCGCTTGGCGTTACGGGCAACCATCCTAGTCTCCAATGTTCCGAGTCTAGCCAGGGGAAGAGTGTCAAATCCACTTAGGGGACGGAGGACAGTTTGGGAGGAGGCGAGAAAAATGGAGGGCGTCTCTGTTTTTCCCGCCTCCTTCCCCACACCGCTATAAGCCCGACGCCAGCCCCCTCGGTAAAGATGGCTGCCTGTACCGGTAAGCGCGCGATCCTGACGATGTAATGAAAAAATAGGGGACTGTTAACTGTGTACTTTTTTGTGAGACAAGTTTTTATGGTGTAATGAATGGGGATGTCAGTAAAACGTGGGGTCGGGGTCGGGGCCCGGGGCCCGGGGCCCGGGGCCGGGGCCGGGGCCGGGGCCGGGGTCTATCGTTTTTTTAAGAGAATACTGTCTTAGGGTTCGTGTTAGTGTTAGTGTTAGGGTTAGGGTTGACACTAACCCTAACCCTAACCCTAACCCTAAAACAGCATTCTTTGAAAAAAAAAGATAGGCCCTGACCCCGCCCCGCGCGTTTTACTAACACCCAATGGATGGAGCAATGCATTCCATTTCATCTAACTGGGCGTATTGTTGCACGTGTCTCTTTTTGCATGCTTGCATGACGATTACACCGGTCACTAAGACGATTTTCAGGGACTTCTAACGCAACGCTACTTTACTGAACACCAAGCGACTGACTTTGGTCCACCAGGTTTGTCTTACTAATATTCTGCAACTGAAACCATTTTAAAACACTTAATCTTGTCAAAACGTCGTTTAGAGGCTGATAATGCTTCACAAAGGGTCTTCTGCACTTTAACTCCTAATAACGGTAACAGTAAAATAAATTAATCTACATTAAAACGTTGTCTGCGCTTGTGTTTTAGTTTGCGAAAACACCATATTGAATTGCAAGAAAGCGGAATAGTTGGGGTTTGTCGTTATTTAATCCCTAGCGGCTACCTCAAGGGTTGTTATTTCTACCCTGCCCAATCTTCCGCTGTCGTTAAATTAAAGAATGCAACTACGGCGTTAACGAGCTTTTGAAATATCGACGGCCAAGGAATATTAATAACAACCAGGGCTCCTGTCACAATCTTACGGGTGCGATATTCTGTGTTACCAGAGAATGTGTGGTAACATTGGTTAACAAGCAGTCTTCAAGTAATTTACCATTTTTTGGGTAGGGATGAATTGCACAGCGAAACCTACTATTATCAGACTAGATTGTCGCTCATCATATTTCTCTTTTTCGTTAGTCGTTTCATAATAATAACATTGGCAAAAATAAAACATTTGCTCATTTGGATTGTATATAAACGTCTTGAGGAACAGACAGAATGACCTTTTTAGAAAATTAATTTTGTCCTTTGTACATAATTCAACAGAGATCTCAAACTTTATTCACCAAGAGGACAAAATATCGCCAGCGGAGATGAGAGGAGCAGCTCAGCAGAGTGACATAGGAATGGGAAGTCTCGGAGCCCGGGAATCCCAGGCGTTAGGAGGCAGTATGGGAAGCTTTAGAGAATTAGCAGGACCTCAACAGATGGGGGGCCAAAGCGAAGGAGCTACTATGGAGCAGGCTCCGATTGGGGGAGCAATCGATGCTGGAGCCATGGGCCAAGATTCCTTGGCGCAGGCTGGATTAGGAGGTGGCGCCGGATTGAGTGAATCGGCCATCAGCCGAATGACTGAAGGATCACTAGGAGGAAAGGCTGGAGAATCGTATCAAGGACTTCAAGGAATGCAAAGCGTTCAAGACATGCAAGGAATGCAAGGAATGCAAGGAATGCAAAGCATGTCCTCTGCTCTCACAGGAGGACAACAAGGACAAGGTGGAATGTTATCAGATAGTGGGGGTCTCAGTGCTCTCCAGGGGCAGGGAATGATGGGAGCGTCTCTTCAAGGAGGCATGCAAGGGATGATGGCTGACGGTGGAGGACTTGCAGGTCTTCAAAACATGGGTGGTGGAGGAGATCTGGGGCAGCAGCAAATGGCATTTAAAAAGGCAAGTATTTTGCACTTATCCGATACATTTTCTCTCTTCTAACCATTATTTGCGACTTAAACTCGTCAAAATGTTGAGCTCTGTCTAAATTGATCAAATTAGTATAGAGTATTGCTTATTGCTTGCCTAATAATATAACCCACACCATTTGCTCAGCTAGATGATGGAATGCTCAGTCGAGGGAAATATTAGGGAGCTTTAGCATCGACGATGGCGACGGCAGCAAAAACGTCACTTGTAAAACGAATCCGCGTTTTTTCAAACTTTGTCGCGTCTATTCCAATTCGCTGAAAATGTCAAATGAAGGCAAATTTCCCTAGGGTTGATTTTTCTGGGGACCGTACTCAAGTTTAAAAAGAGAAAGAAAAATTCGTCGGCGCTAGTTTACGTCCTCCATAAAACAGCAATTAGGCATGTTCACGTCGTTGTCGTGCAGTGACGGCAACGACGTGTACAGAAAAGCGTGAAGCACGTGTAAAGTTGTCGTTTTGCTTAATAAGCCTATTGCTTTTTCGCCGTTCTCGTTGCTAAAGCTCCCTATTACTAAAAACAACATAACGTTTTGGCTGGGGAGATTCAGAGGTCGATGAGTGTCTGAAGAGTAAAAACGCACCCTTTAACAGGACTTGATTGACGTTCTATCCATGAACAATCCTCTACTCTGACAAATCTGAATCACGAAGGGATAATTCATGACATGACCATGCTTTTCATTTTTGAACGCACTGCTTTCACTAAAACGTAACTTAAGTATGATTGTGCTGCGCATGGCTTTTAGGATAAACACTAGATTCTTTGTTCTTCACTAACATTTGAACCAATTAACGACTGACGACGTACTTTTATCCTTAAACAGTCAACAATAGCAAGACCAAGTGACTCTCAGGTAACACTATGTCACTTATTCTTCTGACTGTGGTAGTTATGAAAAACATGACAAATACAAATGGACTGCTGTTTTAATAAAAAAAAAGTGTGACTATAAGTCATATAACTAACCAGTAGTATTAAACCGACGTAATTGGCCTTTCTTGCGCAGCACCATCGTCATCTCTACATAAACCATATTTTTGGCAATTGAATGCTATAAAGGTGAATTAGTAATTGACTTGTTAATGAAAACAGGAACATTTACAAAATATTTGCCATCACTTAATTGGAATATGATCAACAGCTTCCTTGGTCAACTATTCTCGACCGGTTAACAAATGGATTTTTGCCGTGTGTGTGCTCAGTTATGAGCAGTGGATCACAGATGAAATCAGGTTGAAGTAAAAACAAGTAAAGTGCTAACCTTGGGCCAGTGTATCATGTACTTATCTTCTTACCAAATTTTTAAAATAATTACTGCTTTTTCCTTTTATGTGACCTTTGTTAATTTTTGTGTTTTTCAGCGGTCAAAGACGCACCAAAAAGACGAGATTACCACTAAACATAAAAAAATAACGAAGGATAAAATAACCACAAAAAAGGTTGGTGATAGCATCTTTGCAAAGTACCTTTTAAAGAAAGGAATTATTTTTAAAATTTGCCCCAAGGAGCCGATTGTACTGTTACAACATACTAGAGACAAGGAAAACCACAAGGCGGATTTTCTCATTACTAAGTAGTCTGCGCGCGTAAACCAGCGTCATTAGAGAGCTTAAGCAGCGACGTTTTGGAGCGACGCACGTCAACCGGAAGTGAGGTATTTTTCCTCTTAGAAACATGCCTCTGATATAAAATTTGTATTCCTTAGCTTCTTTACTGTTATAAAGGCGATTTGACTGAAAATTTTCGCGAAACCACCGTCAAAAAATTAAAAAAGGCCACTTCCGGTTGACGTGCGTCGCTCAAAAACGTCGTTGCTTAAGCTCCCTATTTTGACGAGAAAACGTGGTAGTCGTCGTCATTCTACTACGGTTTCAGCGAGAATGCTTTTGTGGCGGGAATAGGTGAACAACGATTAGAACTTGTATCATTTTGTGATTGGGAGAGAGCTTAACCCCCTGCCATAAAAATAACTGTGCTAATTTTTCTGGTGACAAAAAGAACAATTAATCTTTTTTTTTTAGAATAAGCGAAAAACTTGAAGTCAAATCTCATACTCGTAGTTGTCCTCGTCCTCGAGTCTTAAGGTTTTCTATTACACAGTTGAACTTCTCCACAACAGCCACCTTGGGGTGGCTGTTGTAAAGAGGTTTAAACAAGAAACAATGTATGGACTGTCCGCCAAAAAAAGTGGCCATTGGAGAGAGGTGGTCCTTACTAGAGATTCCACGGCATATCCCTTGGACTCCAGAGATTTGGGGGTTTGACTTCTCAGACATCTGAGAAAAAAAAAAAAAAGAAAGTAAACTGGGCAACCTAATTAGTCAGAATCGTTGACGTTACTCTAATCTGCGTTTCTTTCCCTTTTTTTCAGAGTAAACTGGCGAAAAGCCATCTAAACTCCAAGCACCCAAAGAAGATGTAAATCTACTCAACGTTTCAAACCAACAGCAAGTTCATATACTTCAAATAGGTTTCGAGGAGGAAAGCAACAAGTCGAATATTATTGGACTTTTGCAATACATGCATTATAGTGATACAGTTTTTTAAACGTGCCTTGTATATGGGAGAATGAAAGCCTCAGTTAAAAATCACAAATGTCCTCATTAATGCTAAATTGACCATAGTACGTCTAGGTCTCAAATGACGATCAAAAATAAAACCTTTTGTATTTGTTACCGTGACTTTGAGTTAATATTATTGTTATTATAGCATTTACATAAAAATAGATTTTAAAAATATTCAGTGCTGATGTCGTATTATTACTGCGAACGGATGAACGGTGAAAATGTCTCGTCACTAATACATGTACACGTGATGGACTGTATAAATCACTCAGCAAATTTTCAGACACCGCTAACAGTTTTGTGATTAGATGGACATTGCGTACCAAAGAGTAATAAAAGTGTCAATTGGACCCACGTTTTGTTATAATGATATTGGCTCCTGATTATGGCTTTTAAACAACTGAATGTACAAGCTAGGATAAAAGAAAATCCATGCCCTTACTTGTCCCCGTGTCAGTTATCGCGTTATGCCTCGTAACTATAGCGTCTAACAATTGACTGTCGCCAAAATTGGCCAAAACATGTCTGATGAATAAATAGACACCTACCAAAGAGAAGAGGAAACCTCGTTCCCAAAAATCAAAGAAAATTCTTTGGAGGGTGGAATCTGCGTCTTCCGTTTGTCAGTCCGAGTACAAATTAAGAGGAGCAGCAACCGAAAAGAAGCTCAAAGCCATGATAATTCTTACTACCGAGAGTATACTTGTCACGATTAGTTGCCATGGCAATTGATATAATATGACTGAGTGATTCACAGAATAATACTTTTCCCAGTTTTAAAAACTTTTTTTTGTCGTAATATAGCAGCAAATGGTTTAAGGTATAAATAATCTAACAGGTGATTACCAATATGCGAAGAAGTAAGACTTCTTATTAGCTCAGTTATAAACTGTGCTTTATTCAGATACCTCGCTGGATTATGTCAAAAACACATTTTCAAACTGCTTCAACTCAATAGCTAATAAGACAAACAGAGCACTTCCTAGATTCTTGAAATTTTAATGCTGATTATTTATCAAGCTTGATTTAAGTAGTCATAAAGAAGCAGAAGGCTTGGCAAAAACAACCCGACATCTTCTACAAATAAAAGACCTGTGTGCACTATCATCGGTAATGCCCTTAACTTCAAATCTCAGTCAATTCCGGCAATTATGACCGACGATATTACCAAAAGACATTTTCTCATATTCTCACATAAACAGTGATTATCTACCTCTCGGCATGAAGAATTAATCGTCAAATAACCACGGATTTGCTAAGTTAATAAAATCAGAAATTTATTATCATTTTATACAGAAAGCCAATTTGACTACTTTTTAAAACTTTTTCGTTGGGAATAACCGATACCAGTCTGTTTATGGAACCGCCATTTAAGACTATTTATTTTTTTTAAGCTTAGCTTCCTGGTTAATATTTCTGAGATAAAGACTCGCTGTAATCCAAACAAATCAAATGGCGTTTCTCGCGTTTACACTGGATACATCCAATCAGCGCATTTTGATTTTAATTATACGAACTAGATCACATGTAATTTGAATTTTGTTTTATTTTTAAAAGGAGTTGAAATACTTAAAGTTAATATTAGGCTTTCACCTGCTCTGACTCCTTACATTTCTTTGAAATATAGTTAAGACCTGTGACTGTCGAAAGTGTGACAACTAAATTTCCTTTTTAAACATACATTCTTCACGGAAATTGTGAACGCTTTTGTGATCGAATTGTAGCTCACGCCCGCTCAATAACTTGCTTGTTTTGACAAAAGCGATTAATTTGTGAAAAAGTATCATTATTTAGGATCAAAGTCACCGCCTTTCAATTTCCCAAAACTTTGTTACCTCCGCGTTTCTTTCCGGATATGCAGATGTCAAAAACACGTAAACAAATCTTTCAAGGGGCTTTTTTCCTTTGAAAGGGTTGTATTTCAACTTTGTAAGGTAGTATGCGCGTTCTTTAATGCTCACGGCGATGCCTTTTTGCGGGGAGATTTCCATTCGAGTAACCACGCAGGTATTGCAGATGATGCTAGTACCACTGGTTTTTTGTCATGACCATCAAACTCACAACAAAGCCAAGGCTTACCAAGAGGGCGATGTTATATTGGGCGGTCTGTTTCCTGTCCATTCATACTGCCCAGATTCGTGCAATTACAGCTGTGGCGATTTGCGATCTCGCGATATAGTTTATTTTACTCAAGCTATGATATTCGCCATAGATGAAGCCAATAACAATTCTTTCATTCTCCCAGGAATATCGCTTGGATTTGACATCCTTGATTACTGCTCCAAGGACGTCATTGCATTGGAAGAGGCGTCTAATTTTTTTCCATCTTGTTCTAAAGCTCCTTCGCCACCGATTGTTGGCGTTATAGGACCTTATTCAAGTAGCGTGGCTCTCCAGGTTTCGAATCTTCTCGGGCTATTCAAAGTGCCGCACATAAGTTACGGAGCTACCAGCCCGGTACTTAGCGACAAACAACGCTTCAAGTACTTCGCTCGTACAGTTCCTTCAGATGAAATGCGCTCCCGTGCGCTAGTTGATCTTCTACTTCACAACGGCACGCTTTATGTCTCTGTAGTTTACTCTGACGATGAATTTGGTCGCGAGGGAAGAAAATCCTTCACAAAAGAAGCAAAGAACCGCGGTATATGCATCGGAACAACAGAAGCTCTTTTACAAGGTGACCAGGCATCCAATTTTGATGAAACAGTAATCGCTATCAGCGAGAGGTTAAATTCTAGAGTAATAGTCTTGTTTTGCTCCAAGCGCGACATAGGTTTACTTTTCAGAGCGATCAAAAAACTTGGGAAGCACAGTTATTTTCGATGGGTTATTGGAGGTGACTCGTCCGAAATGTCTGTGTATTTAGATGGAAACGACGACATGGCTAGCAACGTGGTAATATGTTCGCCCCACAATGAAAAGGCGACAATATTTACGAAGTGGACAAACACAGCCAACTTGGTACATCGTAACCCTTGGATCTCAGAAATATTAGAGATTAATACAACAAAATACGGAAATTTTATCAGTCACGAAGGAGAACAATCTTCGACCGATGTTTATATTCAAAGTGTCATAAGCTCTGTGTACACCTTTGTCCACGTCTTAGACGAAATCTACAAAACAGATTGCAAGAACATGTCAAATCCCAAATCCTGCTTGCAAGCAAAGTCAAAGGACGGAAAATTGGTACTTGAAAGGATTCTAACCATTTCGTTCATGCGAAAAAACGGAAGAAAGATTGAATTTGATAAAAACGGCGACATTTCTGCAGAGTATGACTTTTTGAAACCACTCAAAGATGAATTTGGTAGCGGATGGGGCCTTACTTTATTAGGGCGCTGGAGTGAAAAAAATTGGTCTGGTTCTTCCATGGTGACGCTGTGTAAGGACATGGACATCTTGCCCCGTACTTTATGTAGTCAGCCCTGCAAACCTGGAGAAATTAAAATACCTACCACGGCCTGCTGTTGGAGATGCAACTTGTGCAACAACAATGAGATAACCACTAAAGAACAAATGGAATGCTTGCCATGCAACAAAGGTTTTAAAGTAAGTTTTCCAAAGAATTATAAGACTAGCTATAACAAAAAGTTCAGGAGGGAGTAAGGGAGAGATCGATACAAAAGCGATTGCTCCAACGCTGTGCTCTGCGTGCGTTTCACGTGATAGAATGTCAAAACGCACGTTACCAGATTAGGAGTGATAGAAGGTCCGTGATCAGGTTGCGTTCTTAGCATTCGTTGTGGAAGTCCAAACGAATGCTGGCTACATGCGTGCCGCGCATGCGTGATAGCAGCCTGGAGATTAGGATTGCAGGCTCATCCTCTCCTCTTCAGAAACTGAATCCTGCTTGCAGTCTCATTTATAGGCTGGAGAATCTTTTTTATTGACCATCTTACGATAGGGAGATGGGCGGAATTAACAAGCTACTACTTCTAACTTGTTCCTTTCAGTCTCCTTTCAGTTTTCTGATCAGCTGACCCCACCTCAATGGCGTGTAGGCGGTAAGGATGTGGGGGGCAACGTGACGTCATCCAATATGGCGGCTATGACGAGCGCTACTTTGGCCAGGTTTACTGAGAAGGGCTAAATTCACTAACTTTCATTTGTTTCTCCTTCTTTTAGCCAGATGTTAACAAAACCAAGTGTTTAAAGCAGCCAGTTGTTAGCGTGGATCCATCGTCTGGTTTCATTCTGTTCACTATTTCTTTCTCAAGTACTGGACTCGCGTGTGCATTGTTAACGCTTGTTATGTTTATTAGATGGCGGGCCCATCCACTTATCAAGGCATCTAGCTGCGGACTGAGCTGTTTGCTTTTGGTTGGGATAATGATAACTTATGGAGAGAGTTTTTTGAATCTAATAACACCAGGTAAGATATCAAACACCGCATACTAAGTTGTAATTAATTCTTGTTTTTTTACTGTCAAACTACGAAAACCGTGAACACCTGGAAAATTTCAGGAATGTTAATTGATCTTGATTGTGTACGGGCCAATTACAGCAAAGTTCAAGATACGTAAGCAAACCTCAAAATCACAATCTAATGTGAACTGTGAACTGCCGAGTGAAGAATTAAATGAAGGACGATCATCGAAGTTATATACACAACTTCTGCAGTTGCGAAAAGAAAGCTTGAAAACACTTCAGGCTTGTACGGGATTCGAACCCTCGACCTGTGCGATACCGGTGCAGCGCTCTACCGGTTAAGCTAACAAGCCAACTGAGAGCAGGTCGCTACCGTTGCTGTTTGCGTGTTATGTACCTCGCGCCTTATTGGCTAATTCCTCGTAACACAATAACATTCCATAAATATTTCTGGTGTTCACAGTTTTGTGAGTTTCACAGTAACAGTGCTTCCAATGACACTGATTATTTTGCTTGTTTTCACTATCACGCAATCAGACACAAAAATCGAAACTATCCAACGAAAAAAGACAAAATTAAATAACATAAATATGCAAAAAAATCTCGGCTCGCCAAGATCCACTGGTCTGAGTGTTTTTTCACCTGACATATTAGGAGAGATGTTTTGCCTAAATTTACAGAGCTAGCCTGCGTAGCAGGCACCGGTTTTTTATGGCGAAGGAAGAAATCTCGAGGATGCGCGAGGGTAGGAAACTGAGAGGGAGGCCTCCTTCCCGCTTCGCCTGTTCCCCTCGAGAGGTCTGTAAAATAAAATAAATAACCAGCACCTGCTACGCAGGCTATTACAAAGCTTTTTTTAAATTTTTTGAAACGCCATGATATGTTTTTCCTCCGAAAGGCACCAACATTGTTGCTAGAAACCAAGAGATCACATGATCATTAAGATATTCTATGAAATCGAGTAGTAAAGCTAATGATAAAAATTAAAATTAATACTTATTCTAATACAGGAAGTCTTTGAACAGCGAAATCTCAAAAGCTAAGCCATTTTCTTATTTTTCCCTTCATATAGATAACCTGGTGTGTAGCATGAGGGGCTACACCCGCCTGGGTCACGTGATGTGTTATGCGGTTATGTTTTCTAAAACTCTGAGGGTAAATCGCCTGTTCAACTCTACTCTCCGTGAGACTATGAATCCTACATTTGTCAGCACTCGCTCGCACTTGGCAATAATAAGTTTCATTGTAGGCTTTACTCTGACTTATTCTACGGTGTGGGGATTCCTTAGGTAAGTAATGACAAATACTTCCGGGTATTTCTAAAAGTAAAAGCGCACAAAAAGTGAAGGTGTTTCGAACGGCAAAAACATTATTCAGACGTCTGTGGCTTTGAGATCCATAGAAGGTTATTATAGTGATCTTGCTGTGTGTTGTTATGTAGAATAAACAGGAATTTTAGAGCTCATAACGTTTTGTCTAAATGGCTTGCAGCTCTGCGTGAGGACGATACAACAAGCAACAGAAATAAGTGTTACATTAAATGAAAGACGATCATCCCAGTTATAGATGCAACTTTTGCAATTGCGAAAAGAAAGCTTGAAAAAAAAATTACAGTTTTAGTAGAGCAGTATAACTTGAATTCTGCACCAATCACACGCAGCCGTGAACGTTGCAATTGGCTTAAATGTGAGTTTTCGTCTTTTTTCAGATACCAACAGAATGTGTCAAAAATCTACACACCAGATGAAGTTGTTGTGCAGTGTAACATCACGCGACTGAACGTGGCAATAACAAATTCATTTTACTTGGGTCTGCTTGCGTTGTGCGCTGTCTATACATTCAAAACTCGCAAACTTCCAAAGCAGTTTAGAGAAACCAAAGGCTTGGCCTTGGCAATTTATTTAGCTGCTACTATTCATCTTATTGTTTTGTCCATCGTCTGCACTATGGGCGACCAGAACCTGATTCGAGGAAGAGCCGTTATTTTGAGTCAGCCATTGGCTGCTTCTGCCATATTCTTTCCGGTTTATTTACCTAAATTATACAGTGTAGTATTTCAAAAGGAAAAGATTGTTAGCATGTCAAAACACGACAATTCGCCTGGAAAAGGTAAGAAGCGCAGTTCACGTGGCTTCACTTTGCGATTAAGCCGATCCACTCTAAAACTTCTCCAACGCAGAAATGGTACCGTAACCACACGGCATTTAGGAGTGCAAACTGACGAATTAATCCTAAGCCATTGTGAGTCCTTAGCGACACTTTCCGAAGATTCCCGAAGCCGTGCAACTTCTACTGAAACCTTACCAAGCAACCGATGTCTGTCAATAATCGAACAAAGCAGACGAGAAGAAAGATGCGATGGTCCAAGTTACAATGAAAATACAGCTGGCAGTTCTGTTTACTCTACTTGGTTATAGAAATTCTGATATTATCAGATATCTCGCACTACTGTCAAATTGTGTCTACGACGCCTTGAAGTTTACCCTGTCTTGTTTCCAGGTGCAACTATGGATCGAAATGCCCGAAAGGGTACTCAACGAAGTTTTATGCGGGAAGGCTCCGCCCCGGGGTCCAGCCCCTTATCCCGTATAGTTCGTATACCCGCCATTGACAAATGTTAACCCTTTTTTTGGTCCTTTTAAAGACCGAAATGACAGATTTCCCTACGCTTTCACATACTTCAACCAATGAGATTCCTACCCTTTCATATGCCTGACGCCGAATAAAGGTACCCATCTTTTGTGGCGTACATTCGAGATGTCAGATCAAACTGAAACTGAAGGCCCTTGCATTTGTTGCCGGCAAAAAAAAATCATATCTTAATCGAAATAAACTCAGAATGTTTGTTTGTTTAAAGGGTAGTAACAGTTGTGCCAATATTTATTGTTGTAACTAGACAGCATCCGTAGACTAAAGTTTAAAAACAAGAATAATGATAATTAGAAAAGTCTCTGAGGAGACAAGCATCTAAAAGGCAATCATAAATAGATGAAAATAACGATAGCAAGCAAGTTGAAGATTAATGGAAACTTTTTTTGTTACTAAGCCGCTACAGTGTATGACACCAGCAAAATTATAATACTTTGCTATTGCATTGGTGTTATGACTTATATTTCTTCTAGATCTCTCGCGTACTCACGCTCAACATCCAATATTCCGCATCGGCTGGTTTCTTTTAAATAACTGGGAAGTAATCACAGAACTGCTCTGTATTAGACTGCGAGCGACGAAGCTGAAAGCTGCTGGAAACGACGGCATAAGCCCTAGCGGTGGGGGGGGGGGGGGGGGGATCGGCTAAAAGCGTTTTCAATCCCTAAGCTCTGACTGTCTATCAAGAACTCGACTGATCTAAAAGAAAAGGCGGACTGCAACAAATATAGCTATGCCTCAGAGGGACATCCTCCATACGACCACACTTTTAATACACTCTGAAACACCTTATACAAGAACACGGAGTATAGAGTGGCACGCCCAAATATTTTTATATTGACCACCAGAACAAATTTTAACCCCCAAGATTTATGTCCTCCCTGTTTATGGAGCCAAATACATCAGCTCAGGTGATGTAGTCAAAAACTGAAAAATTGTCCAGGGCCATGTGAACGTTGCTTGCCTTGATTAACTTCGTTTCTGGTGCGTAGTATTAAAGGACAAAACTATCCTTGATTATATTTTCACTGGCAAAAGTAAATGAATCCCATGAGAGTAGAGGAGAAAACACGCGGTTTGTAAGCTCAATGGGATTAGTTTCCAAAATTAATTGACAATCACTTAGTTTCTTTTAGTTGTTTTTTGCCGAGAGAAAGACAGATGGGAACTAAGGGTGAATTATGCGCTGGAAGAACTATCTTCTTTGTTTGCAGCATTCCTTCGCTTGCGCTTTTCGAGGGAACGTAGACAACTCCATGTTGGTTGTAATCGAAAATTTCATCTTCGCTGTAGCTGGAATAATCATCTTCATCCGTGAGAAACAAAATGGTGTTTGCTTGAGACGGGAGGATCTCGTCTCCTCCGGAAGGTTGGATCATTATAAACACCAAGCAGGTCAAAACACTCACAAGGCCGAACAGGCGAAATGCAACGTTTGTATCAAATGTTTGAATTAAAATCCCTCCGACAAATCCTCCGATGCTACCTCCTACCCCGAGATACAACCCCTGAAGAAGAAAAATACCCGTGGGAAAGGAGGATGCGGGAGTATAGTTGGTGATGTACAATAGGAAAGCTGACCAAGCTGTAGAGTGGGAGATACCCTGCAGTAACTCGACCGGTGGGGTAACCCATGCGGACTCTGGGGTGCTTAACCAGGAGTAGATTAAGAATCGAAGGGCATATGAAGCAAGACCAATGTATATCATACCGATATATCCCAAGTAGGTCATAAGAATAGGAGCTGAGAGAGACATGATAGTGTCAGAGAGATACTGACTCACAACTGTGAAACCCACGACAAGATCAGAGCCTCCGATATCCGCGATATTCCAGTAGACAAAGTTGAACAAAACCCCTCGGAGAATTCCCATGATTACCACGATATACAGAAAAGTCACATTGCTGACAGAAATCAGCTTCTGCAGCGATTCTTTAATTTCAAAGCTGCGGCGACGCCTTCTATAACTGAGGTCAAATTTTGTTGAGATCAACACAGCAACCGCCATAAGTAATGAAAATATTATAAAGGCGATTTTGTATTCAGCGTACCCAACATCACAGATTGTTATTTTTGGGGCGAAATGAAGAATCAAACCAGTGGCAAATGCTGCAATTCCAATACCGATCGAGCTGTAAATGTTGTTGTCGATCACATTTTGGTACATAACACCCAAATGCTCTAGAAACGTTCCATCAAAATGTGTGTTGAGGTCATCTGTTGCGGACTGAAAAATCTCCCCTGTGAAAGCAATAAAAAGTAATTCGGTAAAAATTGTGTCCGAATACGGATTTCTTCTTTTGTTGAGGTATGGCCCATTTGGGGATTTGAAATCAAAAGGCTTGCGTTTCTCAGCTGCTTTACTGTCTGTCGAGACCTCCAGTTTAATCCCGTTTGACATCCGGAAACTATCGCCAATTGTCTGTTTTAAAGATCCGTGTTCATAATACAGGCTTGAAAAACTATGTTTTATCCTGGTTTTCGCTGCACCTCTTTTGACAAAGGGCGGTTTACTCCGTTTTCTGTTTTCACGCAAACTGTGAGCTATGATTTTATTCTGGTGTCCCTGGTACAAACTTGAATGGCCATTCATGAGTGAAATATTTAAAAGCGGATAGGTTTTTATCCTTTGGAGAGGAAACATGTTAGAATCCTCACTTGAGTTGAGGCTTACCCTCGTGGAATTTGCCTCTTCCACGCATTGTTCACTAGCATTAAGATGCGGCACCAACGCAATTGGAATAGTAAAAGCAATCCAGCTGATGAGCGACCAGACAAGAATAGCTTTTCGGATCTTATACTTGTTGGCCAAATAACTCCATATCGGGGCAAAAAGTAACGCTATCAATGGGCGAATTCCTCCCAGAATTCCAATTTGCCATGGATCCATTCCAATTGCCCGGTAATACAAGTTTAGAAAAGGGAATAGAGAGCCCAGTGCTCCGTAGAAAAAATAGTAATAAGCTGTTGGCAGCCATCTTTTGAGTTGCTCCTTGTTTACTCTCCAGTAGCCACCTTTCAGTATTCTTCCCATCTTGAAATGCAACGAAGAGAAAATTTTTACTGAAACGCGGGGGAAAATAGAATTAGCTCAACTTTCTTTTCTTGTGATACTTTTGGTATCTTCTCCGCCTGAGACTTTCGTTGATAACGTTTTACTTCGTTTTAAAATCAACATTATACTAACGTTGCACGAATGATAGGCCGACCACGGCGAAATCCCAGTCAATGCATCTTCATCTTTTTGCATGTAATCCAATGCCGTCCTGAAGAATTTTTGTCGATAATAATGTTTCAAATCAGAGCACACCTTTTTGCAGTTTATAAGAAACCGTAAAGCTCGCAAGAAACAGAGAAACTATAATTATTGCATCTTTCGTTTCATTTTCAGCAACAGGGTCATCGAAGTTTTTCTTGGCTTTTTCGGTTGCTGGGGTTTTTTTAAGAAAATTAACATAACAAAAAATAAGATTGTTTGAATAATGTATATATTAATGTACATAGTCTATCGATTTTTTAGATTAATTCTCTTCTCAACAATGGGGTTAGATTTCTAAACAAAAGAGAAAAATACGACTGGCAACAATTTAATCCTTTAATTTGGAGATGAGATCTTGAGCCTTATAACACTGACTTGACTGATGCAGTGTGTGTTACCAAAAACTGTGCGACCGCTTCATGGAGATTTATTCACCCAGCAAAAGCTATATTTGTCAACTTTATTTCCTCAGCTTGTTTATTGGTCCACCTGCTTTGTGACGTTCAGTTGATCAAGAAACTCTGTTACTGATTGCGAGATTCAGGAAATGTTAACGGGATACGGGGTTTAACCGGGAAGCGGGATTCGCCAAAATGTATGCACAGATGCGAGATTGGGAAATGCGATATTCGGGAGCGTTGATAGAAGTTTCGGATGCGGGATTCTCGTGAAAAAGGTGCGGAAATTCGGGACCAGGACCCCCCTTTCCTAGTCTGAAATGTCATACGTCTCCACCCCCTAACCCTGGGGGCGCGGTGGAGAGAGAGAGGTCGTCTCTCTACCCTGCGCCCCCACGGGTTAGGGGCTGGCCATCGCATGACATTTTAGACTACCTCTTTCCAGACCCTATTCTTAAAGTTCGGTTGACACAGTCAACCCGATCAGTCTGCAAACGTAAAAATCGAGCTCAACTTCTGATCGTTGGGAAGAAGAATCTCGCGATAAAACAACGGCAAAATTCTCAGTCAAGCAGTCTCCATAACAACTTATTAGCATGGTGCTAAGCGTCAAATTTAATACGTCGAACCCCCATGTGCGACTGCTTCTCGTAAGAGACCACCTCTGAAAGACGTGTACTAAAAATAGGCGCCTTGTTGTCGCTGTTACTCACGGTAGTTCAAGCCTCCTCGCAGATCGCTAACTGTTCAATCTAAATTAGCATCACATAGCTATGATAGCAGGATATGAACAGTACTCCTTAGTTGCTTTGACGGTATGAAAAATGCAGGAAAGTTCACCTGTCAAAAAATCTCACGCGATCGTCTCTTCTCTTCTCGCGGGGGGCCTGGGGCTTCCCATCAAGCCACCGGCTCGCGCCTCGTTTACTTCTGTTGGAAAGATAACTGCAACTTTCCAAAGCTGATCATGAGATATGATCAGCTATTTCGGAGCTTTTTATTACATGTGCACAAGTACACATAGAGACTATATATTATTCTAAAGACAAATTTTGCCCCTTAAAACGAAAACCTCAGTTAATTGATATTGGTAGGAAATGAAAAAGACAAATTTTGACCCTTGATACGGTAACGTTAGTTAATTAAGAAAAGTAGCAAATGAAAAATGACGCAACAATCGCTACAAAAACGCTGGTGATGACAAAAACAGCTCTCCAGAGTTCCCGTTTCACTTGTCTGCCAAATCTTGTCATCTCCAAGGACACTAATTTTTTAACAACTTCTGCATTGATGTTTTCATGTGGAAAGACAACCTCTGGCACCTCACACCCCAAGAAATCACACAACGGCTTCCATCCTTGTTTTACATTATATACCAATAGCTTGTCAGGGGTAACAACAGACTTCACATGGTCTTGGTGCAAACGATAGCACTTTCTGAGAACACAGATGGACCTCTTATTATGAGTGCCGACTAACGCATCAATAAGAGAATCTCCGACGAAATACATCTTCTTCATAGTTGGCGACAGCATCGACATTATACGTGATTTCGCAGCCGTGACCGCTTCAAGTTGCCTCACCATACTCTTCACCCACGAATCTTCGTCTCGGTCGCTCAGGATCACTTTACAATCGGGAAAAGCTTGTAGTATTTCTTCCCAAAAAAAGTTGCCAGGAATATCATTAAGCGCATCAGCATCCTGATAGACTCGTTTCGCATCTAGTGGAACGCCATTTTGTAGAACGTCGACCCAGTGATCCAAAAAGTCAAAGACTTGTTCTTCCGCGTCAAAGACAGTGAAGCCAAGGTGACGCAAAGCTTTAGTAATGGATTTAGTCCCAGTTTTTCCCATTCCTGCACAAATGATCTTCATGATATATAACCGTGTTTACGACTCTTCTCTTTCCTCTTCATTTACATTTATCGCTCTGTAACCAGGCTTGTCTCGCATCATTTGCGGTCCATAACGCCCAGGGAGGGGTGGGGGGGGGGGGCGGCGGCTATTCCCTATAATGGCCTATACGTAGAGGCTCCGTTTGAATGGGATACCACTTGAAGGATTCAGGTATATCCAAGGGTAGGGAATTTCCGAATTTCCGGGTTAAAGTATATGAAAGGGTAGGAAAAACTATAAAATAAGTATTAAAAGGCATAAATTGAAATATTTCGAAAACACATCGCTATTTTTAATTTATTACACGTAACGCGATAAGGACAAGGTGACTTTCCGTTTCAACGTTTTATTCTTATTAAGTAGGTATTTTAAGGGGGATCATTTTTCAATGAAAGCCATACGAAAGGGGCAGCTTTCCTTTCAAAAATGGTACTTTGTTGAGTAGACCCCGGGCCATAACTTCCCTCTTTACGGCTAGGGATAATAACAAGATCGCTTCATTGCCGGTCCTATTTTTTTAGGCACTGGACCGGTTATTTTGCCAGAATATTTCCAACGTTTGTGAGTAAAGTGTCTAAAGTTGGCGGCCAGAAATAATGAGTCGTTCGCACATTTCTTTTTAAAACTCCAGAGTGGATGGCTGTAGTAGTAAAAGTCAACCAGCCAGTCGCAGGAGCTCCTCGGCAGGTTAACCCTAAAACACCGACACCGGGCCCGCCCACTTGATGCACCCGGTCCACGGACCCTTCTAAGGATCCCCTCAAAAAATACTTGCAAAACAAATAACATCAACTAAACTAAACTAGAACAACCTTACCAATAAAAGATTGAATTAACTGCAAAAACCGTGAACGAAGATCCTGCTAGTTGTAAACGTTGGATCTCTAGAAAAGAGATCTAATCAGCCAAAATATAAAGAACCAAGAACGAGAAGTCCAAAGACTACGGCAAAGCTGATTCAGAAGAACGTGTATTGTTTTTTCATATCAATATTTCGGCTGGCCATACCAGCCTTCTTCAGGTGAAGAAGGCTGGTATTGTTAGCCGAAATATTGTTATGAAAAAACAATGCACGTTCTTCTGAATCAGCTTTGCAGTTGCTTTGCAGTAGTCTTTGGACTTCTCGTTCTTGGTTCTTAAACAACCTTACCCATGGTACGTTGTACATGTGTGCTATCTTTTTCCACCGTAGGAATATAACTAGCACTTTCCAGGGTCTGGTTGCAAAAAGATCTTAAGGGGATTAAGGGAACTTTCAAAACAGTAGGTTATATTGTTCCAGAACAAAAGATCTGCAACCTGACCCAGGCCCTGAGTCTGTCGGGACGAGCGAACGCAAGGAAAAACGGGGGAGGACTGGGGAGAGGCAGGCACTCGCTGTTTTTCCTCTTGTCCCGACTAACTGATAAACCTGTAACAGGCTAGGTTATAACAATGTCAGTGTGTCCAGCTGCCGCATACAGAATAGCTGTGCCGGACTTAGGGCCTGTTTACATGGAGTGGGGGACCCCGGTCTGGTGGGGTTGGTTTCTTTTGTTTTCACGCTCTGGGGGACACAAAACAAAAGAAACTTACCCCACTAGACCGGGGTCCCCCACTCCATGTAAACAGGGTCTTAGGGTGCAAAGGAGACCGTCCAGACGGATGAAATTCACCCTACGCACAAACGGAAGTTAGAAAATATATATAAATATATGTTCTTTAAAGAAGTTAAAAATTGTAACTCCGAACAATGAATAAATATATAAAACGGTATTTCCACGAACGAACCGTACACTGAACAGCTGCTCCATGCGCGTAGTCCTTTTCGATGTAGAAATTTACGTGCAATGGCTGAGGAAACGATCAAAGTTTGCCATTTTCTTGCATTATTATTGCAATAGTTTTGCATTGATGATAAGTGTGACAGTGTTACCGTTTCTGTGACTACGCATGATGACTTGTATTGTAAGCCGATTACGTATTGCCAAGTCAGCTGTCTCGTCACGACCACAATCAAGCACATGACGTCATTTACGTTGGAAATCTATATTTGGGAGATCACGTGATCGAACGAAGAGCCTAGCAAATTTTGTGAGGCTAGAACGAAAACAGTTCCTGAAGTAGAAGCTTTTCCCTTCAAGATAATAAAAAAAATCATTCAGTTACTCCAAAATGAACAGATTATTTGGGCGAGGAAAGCCAAAGGAACCGCCGCCGAATCTCACGGATGCTATTTCTAACGTAAGTCGTGGTACAATTGCAGACTAGAATCGTGGAACACAATCAGACCAGAGCAAGTGACTGCAGATTTCCTTTGCATCTTTCATTAAACTTTTTTCTGTTGCTTAGGTGGACAGTCGAGGGGAATCTATAGAAAAGAAGATTAGTAAACTTGATGCAGAGCTCATGAAATACAAGGATCAGATGAAAAAAATGAGAGATGGACCCTCAAAGGTTTGTATTAGGATGTAAGAAGTTTCTTGAGCTTTTAAAATAGTGCTGAAAATTTATGTCTTTTTCAGTGGCCACTGTAAATTCTAAAATCCACGTATTGTCTCTTGTTATTTTGTATTAAAATACAGTCATATCAAGCTGGTACTTTTAGACGAAGAATTATTTTACCATTCAGAAGAAGTCTTTTGTTGGTTCAAGATGGTCGACACTTAAGCCACCAGGCTTCAATTGTTCAAAAGGTGGATAGCGCTGTCCACTGGTTAAATTTGTAACCAGTGGATAATGCAATTGGTTTTTGTACTACTTATATATCCGCTGGATAGTAATTTGTCCAGTGCTATCCAACTTTTCAACAGCCAGGGCCAGGAATACAATAATTTCAAGCCAAGTAAAGTTTTCTCAACACATACAAGGTCATATTTTTTTTTAACCCTGAGATAACTTTGGTTTATGTTCCAAGGCAGTTAATGGGCTAATTGCCAGTTGTACAGTGTAGCATACAGTGCATGCTAAGCCAACCAGACTTTGAGTGAAGGCAAGGCTAGCAGTGACTTTGCTTCGATAGAAACCTCAGCACTATTTATAGATTAAATTTCTCTTTTTTTTTTTCCAAGGAAGTATGCAAAGCCCTAACAAACTGTGCTCAGAACATGAAAAAACAAATTTATATAGATACATACAGATGGATAACCAGAGGAGCTTATAACTGGAATAAAGTTGCTGTAAACACATTAAATTGTAAGCCTCGTTCCAGTTTCTAAGCAGATCTTATTATCAGATTTGCTTATAAACAGGAAGGAGACTTATAAGCTGCTGTATGTGGTCTAGTAAAATGACGCAGAGTGTAATAGTACTTGATCCTCTGTATGGTTGCCTGCAGATATCAAATTTGTCACACATTTTCCATCAAGTCATCAGTTTTTCAGGTGAAATTGTCACTTATTAGGCTGATTTAGCAACAGATTGGGAATGTCATTTGACGATGGGTTACAAGCGCGCGGAAAGGACTAAACTTGACTTCCGGTACCCAATTTGCCGCTCAGCCATTGGTCAATCCAGTTGTTTGATTTGCGCGGGCAGTCGTCAACAGACGTTCCCGTTCTGTTGTTAAATCAGCCTATTAAGAATTTTTTGGCATGCTAATGCTGCTAGCGAGCTCATGACAACCATAACAATGACTGAAACTAGAAAAGAACTCTGCATTTTGGCAGATTTATTTGCAGTCGTTATCAAACTTAATTGAGATGGCAATGTGATGTTTGCTTTAATTTCTAAGATCATCTCTTCATCAATGGCAATTATAACAGTTGCAATTGGAAATACCTTGGATACAGAGTCTCATACTTAATGTCTGTGTGTTTATTAATTTTTTTTTATCACTCCAATGTGTTTTTCCTTTCTTTTAGAATATGATCAAGCAAAGAGCAATGAGAGTTTTGAAACAGAAAAAGCAGTAAGTTACTTAATGCTGAATATTCGAATAGAAAATATTATTTTCTTTTTATAAAAACTAATGGTACATGGAGGGAGCCACCAGCAATCGAGTTGATTACACAAATTAAAGTTACAGCAAAAGCAACAAAATAAGTGATCTATGCAAAAAATAGTTACAGAGCACTAAGAAAGGCTAGATGTAAGTCAGCATGCGAAGAAAGTACTGTCCAATAGCCTGAGACTAGTGGATTTTGCTATCAGGCTAGTGAATTCAGTTTTTAACTAGCCGGACAGGCAAGTGAAATTTTGTTCAGGAATTCAAATTACATAAGAACTTTGTAATCAATCCTGCTCATCAAAATGTTTTTGGGGCTAGTTGAAATGAATTTGGGGCTAGTTCGTGCTAGCTACAGCTTGCCCAAATGGCATGTTTTTTTATAGATTTTTCCTGGAGTTCAATTTTTAAGGACTTTATCCAGGTTCAAAAAGAGAAAGGGAAATAACTTAGTCTTGTATGAAATATCACATAAGAGGGTTTCACATTGTAGTGGTGCAGTGGACATCCAAGAAATAATACTAAAAAGTGTAAAGCACATGCAGAGTTGTTGTTTTGCTCATAAAATCAATATTGTTTCTTGATGTTGGCATTTTTGTTGTTGTAGTTACTTAAGCAATAATATTGTTATGAAGGCATCCATGATGACATGTTTGACTGTTGTTTGTTTGTAACCTGTAAAAGTTACTATGAAAGCTTTTGTTAATCTTCAATACCTTTCAGGTATGAAAATCAGCTGGAAAATCTCCGACAACAATCCTTTAACATGGAGCAGGCGAATTTTGCAACACAAACATTGAAAGATACGAAAACGACAGTGAGTATATCATTGTTTTGATACATATACATGTACAGTGTAATTTTATAGAGCTAGTGTTCAAGATACACTGTACCCTGGTAGAAATGTGTCCTGCTCAGGATCCTAAGTAAGGGTTTGAATGGATCTTTACTTTATTATTGTTGCACAAACTAAATCAAGAAGCCTCAAGTGGCAAGAAAGGCTTATCTTGACCACTGGTGTAGCCTATAGGAATACTTGGCTGATTTGTTGACTCACAGAGTCAGCCATACAGTGTTTACTAGTTAATTGTGGCTGCGATGACTGTATCTACTTATTTTTTAGGTTGATGCTATGAAGTTAGGACTAAAAGACATGAAAAAGGAATATAAGAAAGTCAATCTTGATGAAATTGAGGTATGGCCATTTTGTTGTCAATCTTTGTATTGTTTTGCTATATCTATTTTCAGTCTGCCTTTGTTACATTATACACTTACATGTACATCTAATGTCAGGTCTTGTGGAAAACAGTTCTCTTTAGTCATCTCAGGAAACATCAGGTCTCGGTGGGAAATAAAAATAACTGTTTTACCAAGGGACCTGACATTAAGTGTTTTGTTATACTCTTAAAAGACTTTCACCTCAATAGCCACAAAGAATATAGAGTAATTTTTAAAACACATTGTGTTAAAACACAATGCCAGTTCTTCAGAACTCAAATTTAATTCTCAAATGAATAAATGATTTAGCAAAGTACCGTATTTTATCGATTCATCGCCGGGCCTTGAATAAATACTGGGTCTTGGATGGGAAGTTTTAGATACTCCCCTCCAGATGTTTATTTGTGGTATAATAAACTAACGGCATATTATTTAGGCAAAATACACGGCTGTCAAGAAAAAGGCACAAAAGCTTTTCTTAAGCCCGAATAAACTGCAAATTCAAACAAACGCCGGTCCACAAGGCCAAGTTTGAATTAAACTCTGGGGGCGTTTAATTGAGAAAATATGGTACGCTCCTTGTGTTATCCACATCTTTTTTCTTTACTAGCTGCTGTATTTCTTCTTGGATGACTTCAAAAATCATTACTTTTTAGCTTTAGGCTCCTTGTTTGTGTTTATGTGTTTATTTACAAAAGTGAAAACTAGCTTGCATGTTTTTCTTATCTCCTGTTATGCCACTTTTCACCATGCACTGATCCCAACATGCTGTGGTATCCCAGGCAGGTTACAATAAATAATAATTATTATTGATTGCTGAATTGTATCACAATCAGGATACATTTGAATTTAGTTAAGGCCATTTGACCAATAATCAACTAATTACAGTCCCTGTTTAGTTGAGTGAGAGTGTAGAAATATAACAATAGTTGTTATTCTTGACTAAAGGACCTTCAAGATGACATGGCAGATATGCTTGAGATTGCTAACGAAGTTCAAGAGACTTTAGGCCGGACTTATGGCATGCCAGATGACCTAGATGAGGCTGATCTTGAAGCAGGTACTGTACATGAAATGAAAGCCCATTCACTGCCTAGGGTAACCTAAACTGGGGGGGGGGGGATACTCCCTACAATGGCCTTTAGGGGGAAGTTCTGTCCTACAGGGGTACCCTTTTCTGGCTTCAGGGATATATTGAGGATATTACATGGCTGCAGAGAGATACAAAATTTCTCTTCTCCTGTTGAAAAAATGATTTACTTGTTTTCAAACAAGGGATGCAGAAATCTAAATGAGGTCATGAATGTTTTATATAAAACCAATGAATGCCAAAATATTTCTCCCAAAAAATATTTTTTACATGTAAAAGGATAAGGGGTTGGACCTCAGGGTGAAGCCTCCACATATAAAACTTTGTTGTTCAAAATCTCTAAAATTTACTAAGAAATATACAGCTACAGTGCAGACAACTTTTAAGCTTTTGAATGGTTGTATCTCGTTCATTATAAATTTGGCTCAATTATCATCAAACTTGGGAATTTTTGTAAACTACTCCATATAAGGTAATCCAAGACAGTCTTGGATCCTGAATTCCACGTTGAAGATTCCGATCCCAGGTACTGGATTCTGGAATCTTTGTCAGTGGATCTTGGATTCTGGATTCTACTCAAAAGATTAGAAGGATTCTTGATTCCTGGAGCTGAATTTCAGATTTCAAATCCCCGGTTTCCGGATTACCTTTCATGGGGCGGATGTATGACTTTGTGTGCTCTTTCTGACTATGAGGTTCTTTTGTTTGACCGGGTCTTTACATACTGTGTTTAAACTCATTTCTCCTCAGAATTGGAAGCCCTTGGTGATGATCTAGCCCTTGATGAAGACACTTCGTACTTAGATGAAGTTCCTGCGCCATCAGATACAATACCAGGGGAGCAAGACTCATCAGGAACAAAAACACAGGTACACAGCTGTTCACCCCAATTCCCAGACGAGACCCTGGGAAAAAGGTTGGAATAGGCCATTTTCGAGTTCCAAAAACTCTCACAGCCAAAGTGTTGTGAAAATTAGTTCTATTTGCATGAAACAATTGCTTGGGAAAACTCTGAAATGGACTATTATGCTAAACCTTGGCACTTCTCCTTGTCCCTAATAGCCTTTCTCATGTTTTGCTTCATTCTTTCAGGATGGGGTGCAAGTCGATGAATTTGGCCTTCCAGTGCTAGCAAGAAATTAATTAATGAACGCTGTATTTTAAGATTTCATAACCCTTTGCCTTTGAAACTTTTCTGTAAATCTATAACAGTATGATGTTACCGGTATATATTTGTAATTTCCTTTTGTACGTCAGAGTATTCAGGGATCAGTGAAAACAAGCAAAAAATTAGCTTGACGTCTGTTGATTACCCTTGTTCAAGTTTTTGGGGGTATATATGGGCTATATGGGTATGTGCCGCTGTGAAGGGTATGGTTTTCAGTTTACCAATGTAGAATAGGGTATCATTTTTCAGGAAACTGATCAGTTTTGAATATTTTATCTAGACTGGGGAAACAGCTACTCTAGGATAGGGGGATTTTGAAAGTTTACTCTAGTATAGGGTAGCAAAATTCAGCTGAACTAGCTCTGGTATAGGTCAAGGGTTCCAGGGTCCCAGCGGCACATCCCCACCCAGAAATTCCTAAAGTGCCCCCCCCCCCCGGGGACCAGCCTCTGTTAATGAGATGGCACACTAGGCTTAATGCAAGGTTTACATAAGGCCAAAGGTTTTGTTTTGTGATCGTAATCAAGTCTGGCATGTTAATTTTGAGGACAGTGATGCCAGAAAAACGATTTCTGTGCCTTCTGAGAAAGCCGTTTCTCTACTAAAGCTCCCCAGATCTTAATAGCATTTTAAACCGTAAGAGCAGCAAGTTTCATGCACCATTATTTAGTTGAAGTTTATAGAGTTCATGCGGTTTCGTAAACTGCTGAAAACATAACCAGAAATGTTTTAGGGAAAAGGTTGTTTCGTTTTAAACTTGAACTAGTGTCCATGCGCCCTTGATCGCTGTAGTTTATAACACTTGTTTTCCTCTGGAAAATTTAGGCGCTAAGTGACTTTTTTAACTGCAGGACCGGGTTGCTCAAAGCTAGGTTAAGATAACCCAGGGTTAGTGCGGAATTTGTTGTTCCTATTATTTTGTTGCCAATAAAAAAACACTTTTTAATAAACTGGTATATATGCAGTAGTGACAACGACGACAGCAATAGCAAAACAAGCTTTCATGCGTGACTATAACAAAGTAGTATAGTATTGCAGATGTCACTTGACTTTGTATCGTATTCTTTCTTCGTTAATTAATTAAAACATAAAAAAGGTCGGGCAGTAGCAGCCTCTTCCTGGTTGTTCAAACGTTGGATAGCGCTATCCCCAAGGCCCCAATTGTTCAAAAGGTGGATAACGCTATCCACCGGATACATCACTATCCACTGCATAAAGCAATTGGTCACTGATTGGTGTCCCTAAGATTTATCCACTAGATAGTGATTTACCCACTACAGGGGCGTAGCTAGGGGGGTCCTGGGGTGCCCGTGACCGCCCCCCGGTAGGCCTTCTTTTGAGCAAACAACCTACAACATTCAGGTGGCGAAAACTCCATGACAACATCTTGGCCGTAAAAGCCATTGTTGAAAAGCCCACTTTTTTAAAATTTGTTTTTTTGTAAAGTACTTTCGTCAACGGCTCTTGTCTTTAGTTAATATGGGCCTTCATGTTGCGATAATACGACTGAGCCCGCTGATACACGAGGGAGAGCAGCGATATAAACCATATATAGTCGGCGATCCCCGGATGGTGTCCCTGTCTGTGACCCCCCCTTTGAAAAATCCTGGCTATGCCCCTGCACTAGATAGCACTGTACAGTGGACACTGATTTATCCAGTGAAAGTGAATCTAAGGTTTGAACAACCAGGGTCTGAAAGTCAGATCTTTACTGGAATGGTCTCCTTCTTTCCTGACGTCTTAAAGAGACTGTGTCACGAGGTACCCATTTTGTATACCTTCTTTTGATAAATGTTACCCCTTGCCTATTTCTTGGTTATAACTTTGCATCCCTGTAAATTTTAAACTGCTGCAAATACATTGTCTTTTTCCACTTTTTGCATCTGTTAGCCCTTTTGGGCCTTTTAACAGACCAAAATAACAGTTTACCCTACCTCCGCACCCTTTCATATACTTCAACTAGTGAAGTCCCCACCCTTTCATATACCTGAAGCTTGGAAAATGTACCCCATTTGGGCGGAGCCTACCCGTATGGGCCATTATGGAGAGTACCTCTCCACCCCCCGGGTGAACTGTGGTTGATCAAAAAAGGAAAATTTTCAAAATTTTCTAAGGTGACAGCTAAACGTAAGGTCATGGAAAAATTGAAAGGTTTACGGAAAAAAGTCATCGAAAGTCAAGGAAATTGAAGAGCTCAAACGAGAACTTTAATCGTTTGCCAAGTCTAAGGAACATCATTTGTTACACCGCGGTTCGTTATATAGAGGCTCCATTGTACTTTTTTATTGTTAGAAAAGAGAAACTAGTTAGGGTGAATAGTCAACAACATATTCTAGTCCATTAAGTATATAGATTTAGCCAAGGTTAAAGTCGAAGCTCCCGTACGTAGATCTACTTGGAGTTGAGCCTGTAATCAGTTGAAAACTATATATAATAACTTGTCAGCGAATACTGAACTCGAGCGCGAGCTCCGCTTTTATCTACCCTGCGAGTTTCTCCTGGCCGGATGCTGCGCTAGGAAGGGAGAGAAAGAGTGCAAGTCGTTCTGTACGCCCCTCCCTACTAAGGAGCGTTGCGTGACGACACTAAAAACGGTTGTGTAGCAGACTAATATAACTCTTTCATAAACTTCATCTCATTTATTATGCAGTATATTTTCTTGCTTTTATATCTTCTCTCTACCGAGTTTGATTAGAATCCAAAACAGCCCGTATTTTGTAGGTCGAGCAGGTCAAGTCACACACGAGCGGTCAAGCGAAAGTCCTGGATCGAGAGTGAAAAAGGCGTGAGAGTCGAGCGAGAAAACCGACTGTTGTTTCAGTCTACTCTTTGAGGGTCAGTTTACTATCTTTCTGTATCGATAAGCTTCAATGCGCTCTGTTTTTTGGGCGAACAGTTGAGCGTCATTCGCTTGCGTGGACGAAATCGGTCAGCAGTAGTTAGAATCGACGCGGGCTCAATAATGATAATGACGAAGCAAGTCCGTTGTTTACGTTGTTACATCATTTTTTGTCGAGGTCAGTGACTCGTGATGTACAGGACGAACTGAGGCTGTATTTCCTACTCTGTTCTTTATCGTTCTGCTCGGGTTTAATTTCCAGGGTTAGCAATATGTGCTTTCAAGTGACCTGTGATAATTGTCGGAAGAAGACTTGGAAAGGTAAGCAGGCAGTTTTTTTACTTTAAAATTATACGTCAAACCGTCGAGAAATATGGGAAGGTGGGGATCATTTGGAACTTGCTGTAGGATTCCTTGGTGAATGGGCTGCATGAAGGTACTGCAGTATCGAAAACCAAACTGAAAATCAGTGTTTTGGGGCGCTTTCCATTCAACCCAAAATTCCGGAAATTTCGGTTGGTTCATCAAATGGAACGGACCATTTCGGTTTGGTCCGACCGGAATATTCGGGACCAGCTTTGGAGGTGGTCCACTGTGACCGGTCTGGTCATTTCGTTCGGTCGGACCGAAATGTCGCTTTCCATTTGCCAAAATTGTTGTCCCCAGTACCGCTCTTTTCTATCCTGCTTACAAGAACAAGTAGTTTCTAGTGGAAAGTGAAGTGCTGTGAGTAAAGCATGACATCTCAAATAGTTTGAATCAGTTGCAATTTTTTTCGATTTTTGATATTGCCATTAACAGTGTCAAATAACTGACGCAACACGACACGTAGGTGAAGAAAAGTGTGCGTAATCAAGCTACAATTGTATAAAAGTCCGTGAGAATCAGCGTATTATTGGTCTGAAACCTGTCGACGATATTTAACTAAAGTAATTTATCAATTAAGGTGAAATGAATACAACAAAGCCTGGCTGAATACAAATTGCCCAAAACACCGAATTTATTTACCGTACAGTTCCAGGAATTGCTTCAAATCGTTTGAATATTCTGAGAAACGGATCGCTTCAATTCACAAGAATTTTTTACCTTCACTTGCATTCATATGCTTTCTACATGAAATAGGATTCCTCCGCCTTTAGTTTTCCACCACCCCTTTTCGACAGTCTAGTGTTCTTTAGGATACAGACAGTATCTACTTTTTACTTTTAGAGCGTAATTATAAGTGTGCTGCGAAGCCACAATAACAAAACGCGCGGTGGCTTGGGTCGGGTCTGTGCAACCGCAATGTACCGTTCCACTGAGCACGCGAAATTTCCGAAATTTCAAACCGGAATTTTTGTTGAATGGAAAGCGCCCTTTGTTACCCCTGCATCCTGCATCCATGATACATAAAAATCCCCAAAGACACAAAATAATTCATGGCATTGTGTCCCGTAGGACGCTAAGATCGATCGATCGATCGATCGAATCATCTGAACGTGCGTAATTGTAGAAATATCCCGTTCGAGTTATTTCTGTGGCATTTATTATGACTGTTGTTTAACAATGCATATTTCTTTTAGCCTTTTTTGTCCCTTAAAATAGTAGGACTATATTTTAATTTCAGTGTACTGTATTATAGAGTTTTGGAGTCTGTCTTCAGATTAACTGTCTGGTTACTCAAAGTCCCAAGCATTTTAAATTGGGGACTTTTTTTTTTTTTTTTAACTGGCACTCATTGGTTCTGGACTGGGACTCATGATTTTCACAAGATAAGTTCCAGGACTCTCAATAACTATTTGTAACAAAATCACTGGAAAATACGTTTTTAGGGGGTGTGGAAGGGAAAAAGGGAAGGGTGCCCTTGCTACTGAACCCCTTTTTTT